AAAAAAAAAAAAAACACATCTATATATATATACTGCTCTCACAGAGAAGCTGATGCTCAGACACTCTGTGCCGTTTCTATGCACTGTCTTTGCAATATATCTCCCTCCCAAGCTCGTCCTCAGAAGTTCTCTATTTGGGGGACCTATTTGAGTTTCCAAAGCTGCCCGGTATCTCTGAACCAAACCCATACTGTTGCCTCAGTGGTCAGAACTGCACAAAGGAGAGCCCCCTGCCTCCACCCGTTCCTGCGTAAAGCTCCGAGGAACTAGAATCTCTGGTCAAAGGTCTGGCTCAGGGAGGCAAAGACCCAACGAGATCCAACGATTACGTCTGGTTTTTCTGACAGTGTGGACTGTGGGCTGTCTTGATCGTCATATCGAACCATTAACCAGAATTAAACCCCCCTCCAGAAAAAAACCCTCTTCCCACCCGGTCTCGCTTCTGACGTTCTCAACTCCCCTCACCTTATGACCGTTTCCCCCCCTCTTCTCTTTTTCGCCATCCGTGGTTCAACTCCCTGTATCATCCACCATTGCCGCACGGAAGCCTTGACAACTGCTTAAATACTGGAGAGTTTACGCTGAGCTTGGAAGCCTGTCAAAACTCACATTAAACGGCAGAAGCTTCCTCAATAAGTGATCTGGGCTCCCTATTCTTTAATATTTCTTCTTCGACAGATTCTCTCGAAACGCCGTCTCAAAACCCCCCGAATAGTGATATGGTGGATTTTCCCTACATATACGCCCAATTTCCCTTCTGATCTCCTTCGATTCTCTACCCATAACCCTTCTTGAAAGTGCCCTAGAAGTCTGGTTGCCTTTCAAAGACAAATAGCTCGTGTTGTGAAGTCCGTTCCGCATCAAGCCTGGGTATCCCCTCTTGCCCATCCTTGGATATTATTCTGTCAACCACGGGAATATTTGGCGAAAATCCAAAAATGGCGATGAGTTCAACAATCTTGTATCCGCCTCCACCATATCCCCCAGAGGCCCATATGCGACAGCCCATACCGCAGCCTCTACCACAGTCTCTCCCGCAACCTCTACTCCAGTCTACCACCCAGCCAGAGCCCGAGTCTATCGAAAGGTTTGCCATCCTTGTCTTCAAAGCACAGAAATGGCAGGGTTCTAATCCAATATAGTATACCTAGCCTCTCAGAACACCATCGCCTAATCTTTCGTCAACAGCCCGAGCGCGCTCGGGTTGCTGGAACTAAAGACAAAGGTAAGAGAATCATTTATACCACCAGATACCGTCAAGCTGTCTATCACTTTGAAAAAACCCTACCAATGCTCGTGCTAACAATATGTATCTTATTATAGAGCGCAAGCCCATCGATCCACCTCCTATTATCCAGCTTCATATTAGGGGCGAGTGTGAAGCGTCAAAGTATGGACCTACCCACCCATGTCTGTGTGTACGCATTCGAAGTACAAATTCTAACAAATACGCAGTAACTTTCTTCAAAGCCCTTACTACTTTATGTGCTGCTCGCTTTTTAGCGTATCAGACGATGAAGAGTCGAGCCCTATAGTGCCCGCAGGTGTCTTAACGGGCACATTGGTATCATCTCTGCACCGCCTAAAGGATATCAATAACAAGGGTGAGACCTAATATTTCCCCTCTAGTCTAGTTTGAATTACATTGCTAATTCTCCCTTTACTCTTCCGGGCTCAGACGGCGGATTTTTTGTATTCGGTGATCTTTCTGTCAGAGTAGAAGGAGAATTCCGGCTCATGTTTGACTTATTCGAGCTTAAAGGGTAAGCTTAATGTTGTCTTCCTATAGTTGGTTTACCTTAATGATTACTTACATCTTGTGCAGCGCCAAACGTGACCAAGCTATCCATATCAAACGCACAAGCTCAAACCCGTTCAAAGGTAAGGCTGTCCTTTACAAACTGAGTTACATTAAGCGATTTCTAATACCTATCTAGTTCTCCCTCCCAAAAGCTTCCCCGGAATGGCCGAATCTACCTTCATGTCGAAGTCATTTGCAGACCAGGGAGTCAAGCTTCGAATTCGCAAAGAACCACGAACACTTTTGTACGTCGTTGGATCTATATTCTGAGGGGGAACTTGTTAGCTGACAATTATAATAGGTCGACCAAAAGGCAATATAACCATAACGATAGTTATCATAACACGTCGCCCATTGATCAGTCCCGCTCTCCAAAACGCCAGGCCATGACTCCGCATAACTATTCTCAGAACACTGCGATATACTCAAACCATAATTCGATCCACGCCACACAACCGATGCACGCAGGCCATCAAGGTCAAACTACATCACCCTATGCCGCTACCCAGCAGTTTCCTATGAGTAATGGCCTTATTCCCGCTCCGTGGTATCCTCTGAAATGAAGCTATCTTCATGTAGGAGTATAGGTTTACACGGTTTATACATATATTTATCAGCAGGCATTATGCATGGTGAGGTCATGATTATGATCAATGTCTTCATGATACTGGGACTTTTATGCCGAGGATGAATTCGTCATTGCTTATATTGTGGTTGATTGGCGTTCACCGGTTGGTATGTTATGCAAGTTTGACGTTCAAAACGTTTGCCAAAAAGAAAATGAGCAAACAACGAAAAAAACGGGAAAAAAAAACAGCTGGCGAGATAAGTATTTGATGATGGTTGTTTTACCCTTTTGAGAACTGGTTCCCCATTTTCTCTCTCTCTGTTTTCTCTTCTCTTCTGTCTTATTACAACTCTTTCTTTTTGATTACTTCCCTTCTTCCCTTAGCTGCACTGGCTTCAACCCTCACCTTGAACTTTCCCCCTTATCTTTATCCCTTTTGTTTGAGACAACATCTGTTCCTTTATTGCCGTTTGCTCTTCTGGCCGACCATCCGTTGGTCGATTCTTTAGATTTGATCGGACACGCATGCAGAAGGAATACACTTTCGCGAGAAAGGAGCTGCGTCAGGTTCATTACCATGCTACTTTGCATCGGGATGCTGACCTACTTCCCTATTATTTTCCAGTCTACTTTTCAATTTTCTTACATCCCCATCCCCTGGTTTTACTATTATTAATGTCTTTTTTCGCTGGTTTTGCGACGCGGTGCTATTTGGTCTCGGGGCATTGGAACGGAGAAAAATAACGGTGATTATCTATGGGCCCGGATCAGGTGTTTTCATACTTTTCATATGCATTAGTGGAGCTGGAGTTTAGTGTTGTTTGTTTCTTGCAGGCACTGTTGGTTTACTACTTACTATCAACACATAATATTATACTGGCTCGTCTGCCAGCCAAGAAGATCTCTCTTACCCTGGAGCTAATTAAGTGTATGTACTGGCTGCAAGTGGCTCTTACCACGAAATTTGGAGGTTGCCCTGAGCCCTCTTACTTTGTCCAAAAGAGGAAATAGGAGACCATAACAATATAAACATCAACTTCACTTCGCGCTTGTCACTTCACTCCAATCTACGCCTCTCACCAGAACAGCATCACTATTTGTTCTCCTATTGCCTAGAGATGCTGCCAGACGTTACTATTTGCGTACTATTCATCACAATCTACGTGGTCGGTAGAATCCTTGTGGAATTTGTTGCTCCTTCGCTCAGCAGTGAGTCAATAACGCGCCTATTGGGCGGCGGCTGGTACTGCTTTTTTATGTGAGAGAGCTCCTACAGTACTCAGGCATCTTCAGCAAGCTAATCACTTCTTCTAATTTATGTCATAGCTACATCTGTATCCTTGATCCCAACCAGTATGGCTCCCAGCCTGTGTGATGTGGCCCTGAGGGGCGTTTGGAATGCCAGTACGGAGGGCCATCATTATGTCGATTTGGATATGACACTCCAAGTATGTACCGGGAAATAACCACTAATATACCAAGAGCCTTTCGACCACTATGACCTAACGCTTCTGATAGATCAAGTCAGGGCCGGACGGTGTCCTTCCGGTACTTAAGTTAGAACCGGAAATGGAGGTTGAAATACTGAGTCAAGGTGTCTATAGATTGAAGAATGAGCCTAGTCATGAACCTGATTACTCACTGGGCTTCTGCGCGCGCGTGGAGGGCCCAGACGGCCAAACATACTATGGGGGAGCAACAGCAGAGCCGGATGATGATGTCAGTATAACTTCTGAAGCAACTTCTCGAAAGATGATCACACGAGATATGAGAATATCCCCATCCCCAGTCAAAAGACTCTTCCCACCAAGTCCAGATACTCGTGGGGGGTATGATGTCGGTGATAATAGTGATGATGGTTTCGAATATGATGGTGACGATGATAGCAGCGGAAGCAGCACAGAGGTTAAGGGGTTTTCCAATGACACCAACGACATATTTGATGTATCCAGTCTCGATGATTGTGAAAAACAGATGCAAAGCAGCCCTAGGAAAGGTCATTCCATTACTTTCACAAAAGGCCTACAACCTCGGCATGCACTTCCGGAATTTGACCTCAACGCCCAGCAAGATATGAGGGACAGTGATGCAGATGCAGAAGATAAGGAAAATGAGGTTCCAAAGGGCGAAGTCGAGTACGAAGGAGTCTGCAGTCGAGCGCCCTTAGTTGAGATCGTTCCCAAACGTGATTCCACAGCGGTCCTCATTTCCGCCCTCAACTCTAGCAAAGAAGAGCCTGATACCAACAGGCCCGGGAATATCACTCCCCAATCACGAGTCCCTAAAAATCATCTCGTTGTTTCTAAAAGAACATCGAGATCTCCTCAAAAGGTTCCTCCGAGCAAAATACCCATCAAACGGATGCATAAAGATGAATCATCGGGGTCAGATCAGGGCCCATTTAACGTTGTCTGTCCAGAGAATAATGTTGACCCAGCACAGTTCATGCATAAAAGAAATTCGCCAATTGCACGAATGGCTATTATGGCTCATGCACTGTCAAGCTCCAAGCCTCTAGACACAGAGGTAGATTATGAGGCAAAAGATGGGAAGGTCGATGCAACCCGTTTAGGGGAACCGTCCTGTTGTTGGCCTGACATGGGAGCGTTAGAAATGGAGACACCAACAAGGCTTCGATTTTCCAGGAAGTTTCCGGGTCAGGGGGTAGGTGCACTTGATGATAATGAGGGATTCACATGGCCAGCCGAAAAGCAAGAAAGCGGAGTTATACAATCGTTTACCGACAACGACCTTTCCGGGAGTTTGGTACCCTTTGGTCAAGAGAACCTAAATGAAGGCTCCAGCAATGATCCATGTCTAGAATCGTCCAGCGATGAGATTTATCATACCATTGAGGAACCAGAGTCCGAAAATTTTGATATCGATGAATTCTATGGGGACGATGAAGAGTTCGCAGGTAGCAGTTTGAATGAAGACGATGAATATGAAGAGGACAATACTATAGATCTCCCGAGCCCATCAACAGCTTCCCAGCGTAGCTTGAAGTGGCATTGTTCCAGGGAGTTGACTGAGCTCAACAGCTTACGCGAGCACCCAATTTTAGAAGCAGCTGATGGCATGCTGAGAGTGCGTACGAGCTCTAAGGCTGTGCCAGCCAACATTGGTCTTATTGCAACGCTACGGGTTACTTTGACCGGCACTTTGAAAGAGGAGTCAGAAGAGTTCAAGGCTACTCTTCCAGAGGATGATGGCCATATGAGCATCCAGTGGGAGCTGAGATTCAAGCCTCCACAAGTTAATGGATGGGCGTTGGAGTTATTCGCGATGCTACCATTGAACGCATCTGACCAAGAATATGACAGTTATGTGGCAGAGTGGCAGCCCTTGGAAGTGAGAGGGGGTCTTGAAGAGAACCAAGCCTTAGAAGCAGATCATGTATCTGAAATGGAGACTGCACAAGACGCAACTGATTCAGGAAACTGTCCATGCTGCTCGTATCACATTGGGCATTTGCCGTTGGTGAACACTGATAAACTTATGGCAGTGGCTGGTAGGTTTTCTCACAAATTAAGCATTAGATCGCAGGTGGCACGGGCGCTTCTTCATGATCTGTCCAAACCATGTGGAAAGGCAGTTCACGTTTTCGGAGCTATGCTGCGTAACTCATGCGGGGAAGAGGGGCTGGTATGGTTTATAGTGAAGTGCATCAAGTTCTCAATACTTCTGCTTGTTCTGTCATTTTCCACTAGGGTTGGGTATAGAGCTGCCGAATGGTCCGTTACTTCATGGGAGGAAAACTACGCTGGTATACGGCCAAACATTATTGACCCGATGCTTGGGAAAATCAGGCCAGCGGTTTGCGGCGGGATGGAGGGCGCAGCTGGAGGAAGGACTGGGCAATCGGTTGATATCGCCGGAAAAGAGGTGGCCGGTGAGGAATGGCCGTCGACGGCACCATGGGCCGTGCTTCCATCGGACAGTGGGGAAGGAATCAACGACGGAAGGACAAACTCCACGGAAAACGGCTCCTTGACGGTGACCGCGGATACGGCATCTATCCGTGCACCGCCTGAGGTGCAGCCGGCAGCAGGAGATGGAGACGGACTGGCCAGTAAGTCGAATGCCAGAGCGAATGCGGCAGATGAGGGAACAAATATCGGCAGTGGCAACGCCGATAAGGCTAACGACGCACGCAAGGCGAGTCTGAGGGACAGGGTCGACTGGATCCTTGGCTGGCGAGGGCCGCTGTTTGACTGAAGACCCCTGAGGAAGACCGAGACTGTATCTGGAGGCACCATGGGCGCTGGGAACTGTATCTCTTAGCTGGGTCTAGCATTTCTACCCCCCCGCCTCTACACTCTTATTGTTCTTGTTTTATGTTTACGCCTCCTCTTTCTAGTCCGTCTTTCGAGTTACTTCCTCTACTTATCTTTGATGTTGCGATAAAGGAAAAAAAGAATAAAAATAAGAATAAATAAGGTTCGTTGGGAAAGCTTGGCATGAATCACGTGGTATCACCTTTTTGACGGGCCAAAAAGGGAAAAGCAAGAAAAAAACGAGCGACGTCAAGCTTCTTCGTCTTCTTCGTCTTCGTCCTCGTCTTTCTTCCTGTCATAACTCGATCTCGTCCTGCAATATCGTCGCCTTCTATATTGCCAGGATACGCACCCCCATAGTCCTCTCGACAAGCTGCCCTTCGTTCTTCTCGTTCCCCTACTTCCTTCTCGCCTCTTATCCCCCCATGCGAGGCTCGCTCTGGAGGTGAGTAGTTATATGAGTAACTATCCAATAATCTCCCCCACCACTAACACCAACACCAACACCACCAACTCAACATCCTCTTCCTCTGCCCCGATATTTGCTTTTCCCTTTCGCCCTGGCATTGGTCACAGAGCTCCCGTGGTCTCACCAGAATGTCATCCCCCGTATAACGCACTCTTCGTCTGCAGCCCAGGAAAAGAAACGGGCGGAGGGGCGGCGTTACGCTGTCATGAAAGACACTCTTTCTCTCGCCTGCTAGCTCACCCTCCCTCTCCTGTGCTTCTTTCTTTTTTTCTTTATATCGACATAGACTATCTCCACCTTGGCAATTTTATGGGGAAGATGCATCTCACGGTACGCCAGACGGACACGGTGTTTGGCTGCTGCTGCCACGCCCATGAATGCTCACCCTCACTCACAATGCCAATGCCATCCTATTGGAGGGGGAAACATCCGCTGTTTCTAGTCCGCTTCGCTCTTCATTTCTTTTTTCTGGGCGTTTGCTAACCAGCCCTCTGCTATCAGAACCTTACCTGTTTCACAGCGTATTATTCCCTGCTCGACTCCATCACTTGCTACCCGCCTAGCATACCTGCCAAGTGCGCCCCGTGATTCCTTTTCTCAACGACAACAGATAAAACCCTTCTCGTCGACCCAGCCTGCCCTGAAGATGTCTTCCAGCAACAACTCCACATCTCACCCAATTCCCAGCATGGCCGCCCAAAATGACCAGAACGCATCTCCGGGTATGCTCAATCCGCTTTCTGCTCCGTCTTCTAACGCTTCTCTGACCCCCCTTTACTAACCTCTATGATAGACAGCTACCAGCTGGCCATGGCCAAGAATAACATCTGGGCCACAAAGCTAGACGAAGAACAGCCAGATCTCTTCCCAAAGCTGGCCTCAGGCCAATCTCCCGAAATCTTGTGGATCGGCTGTGCCGATTCCCGTTGCCCCGAGACCACCGTCCTGGGTCTTCAGCCCGGAGACGTTTTCGTCCACCGCAACATTGCCAATGTTGTGCAGTACAACGACCTCTCTGCGGCCACCGTCATTGAATTCGCCGTCAACTACCTCAAGGTCAAGCACATCATCCTTTGCGGTCATACTAGCTGCGGTGGCATCAACGCTGCCTTGGCCAACAAAAAGCTCGGCCTACTTGACACCTGGCTTATGCCCGTTCGACGTCTCCGAGAGCAGCATATGGACACTTTGAAGGATCTCGACCTCAAAGACGCTGCTGTCAAGCTCGCCGAGATCAACGTTGAAAATGGACTGCGAGTTCTACGAGAGAACAGTGCGGTCCTCGACGCCATCCAGGAGCGAGGGCTTAAACTACACGGTGTCATCTATGATGTTGGCAGCGGAAAGCTGAGAGAACTTGAAATCACTGAGAGCATGGATGCAATCAGCCGACGAATTGCTTCTTTCAAGACTGTCAAAAATGAGGAGTGAGGCCTCCGATGAATTGTCCATTTTCCATTTTATCTTGCTGTCTTGGGGATATATATGTACGAAGTCTTAGCTGCGATCAGCATGGGTGACTTCGAGGAGTTTTTGTTCTTTCTTTTTTTTTTCTTTATCGATAAGGCTGCATATGACGTGGGGTGTCATGTCGATATAAGATATCTGTTTTTCGTGGCTCATGTTATTCCACCTTTTTCTTTATGACTTGGCCTCTGGCAGACTATGGCCGAGATGTTCCGTGTGAGATTTGATAGAACTTTCTGGCCAGACCAATGGAGTATTCTATATGTACCAACTCGCCACTAACATGCGAGGACCGGTATTGATCAGAGGATAATGGCTTTCAATGACTTCCATCTTATATACACAAAGGTACACACTAAGACATGCAATTGCGTAGCCAATTACATACAGCCCCACCTTTAACATTGATATGTCTCATATCTTTGATACCCAGGCCTCCCATTAGAGATTATTTTTTATATAGATTATGCAACCTATATTCAGCTTGGAAGGTAGATAATTAATCCAGAGCGGTTACTGTTCCAGGTTTGGTATATACCTGCGTCTCGAGGCGGACTTCACTTAGCGCTCACCTACAAAAAACCAAATAACGCTATTCTTGACGGATATACACATTGAATAAAGGAATCTAGTTGGGTAGGGTATGGATGCCGAATCTGGTCTTTTGTAATTCATTATTGCTGTCTGTGAACTAATTCGGCTAGTTATAAGGGGCGATAAAATGGGAAAATGTTCCGCGTTTAGCTTTTTGCAACAAGATCTAACTTCCGTTGAAGTCGGTATGCGAAAAAACAATACCGAGGTGCAGAGAGCTTGTCCATACGCCTGAGGCTAATGGTGTGCGCATATTGACATCATAGCCATGCAATCATTTGCAAAATCCCCAAACTGCCCAAAGACAACCGGATATCGGAGTCTCTATATCCGAATCAATCGAAGTTCCAAGTTCCCGAGGCCCACGTGAAAGTCTAAATATTATATGCTGAAAGTGTGCATGCATAGCATAACTTAATGCCGATGAACACAGTGAGAAAGAGAGTGATATGATATTGAAAACGACGTTGCTGATATGACGCTATGCTATATACATCAAAGTGACAAGGGGGGAGGGTATCATATATATGTACGGAGTTAAGATTTGTTTCTATTTACTTGAGTGTTTTCGGGCCCTTTTTGGGCCGAACAGCACCAAGCAGCCCGCCAAACTTCCGCCATCCTTTCTTCTCCTTGCTTCCAGCAGAAGAGGTAGTGGATTGATCGGGAGTTGATGCCCGGTCTCGTCCAGGAGAACCGGCGCCGGATACGGGTGCAGGGCTGGTTTGCCTGCTGCGATGCCTGGGAGCCTGCCCTGGAGAGGAGTGAGGATTGTTATCATGGAGATGATCATTCATCTCATCGGGTGTTTCAGGGTCTGTTGAATCTTGGATTGTTTGAATGGGTCGATGGGGGTAGTTTGGAGAAGATTCCTGGCTTGCGGAGCAAAGCATGCTGCATGACCGGGCGTGTGTTGGAGTTGAAGGACCGCTGCCCTTACCAACGCCATCGTCAGAGCAGCTCCGACGCGGGGATTGTTTTTGTATTGACGATGAGCGAGTATGAGTGGCTGTTGTGCGTCGTCCCTTTTGGCGGATGCGAGAGGTTAAAGATGATCGTTTATTGGTAGTGTGACCACTATTCGTGCGAGTAGGGAGGCCATCTGATTGTACTTCTCCAACGCCAGCGCTTGGAGGGTGTTCTGAGGCCCCGGCTGGGGATGGTGGGAGTTGACTAATGCTTATCCCGTTGCTGGAGGAAGATTCAATATTATGTGTAACGAGTGGGTTCCCAGCCCAGCCCTCTTGAAACGCTACCCAGATCCCGGTAATGGTGATAAGCTGTCGGATCTTATCATCTATTACAACCGGGCTATGTCTCGTTGTTGTTTCGGTTGGAGGGGACCCTGGGCGGTAGTCGGATTCGCGGTTGGCGTAAACAGATGAAAGTGATTCTTGGTCCAGCACTTCAATTCCAGTCCGACACAGCCAGCCTATGATCGGATGACGGCGAGTTAGCGGATCAATTATGCTGAATGTAAGTCGCTTCCCTCCCTCAGGGCCAGGAGACTGTCGACCGGTCGCTTGAATTGATCCGCTACGGTTTCTCTTCCCACGAGCGACCCATCGCACACATTTCTTGATTCCATGTTCATCTGTTGCAGTAAACTCGTAGCCTCCATTAGGCAGGGGTTCTGATATCCAATGTAGGCCATCGGAAAGGCAAATTTCTGCGTTTGCCTTTGATTTAGAATCATCCTTGCGAATTTGGGATATAGTTGCAACAGGTTCACGGCTCTCATTTGATAGATCACTCTCGAGGCGCTGGTCCTCATCGCCAGCACCGACCGGCCCGTATGTATCACTTGGTAGGACAATTAGGTCTGACGTATAAATCCGGTCCCGTGCTGCAAAGGGGCCAGATAGTTTCCGTTGAGCACGCCCTTTGAAGAGAGAAGACGGGACAACATCGAGAACAGAGACGGGACGAGTTGTATTTGAGACTTGTTGGAGCTGTAGTAGCAGCCGGGGGCGAATCAGTAGTCTCTTATGTCGGGTAGTTGGTGGAGGGTGGGCAAAGCGCAGTATCGTCCTGGATCGATGGGTATTCTTCTTGGATACACTGTCGACAGAGTCATCTAAGGTTCCACCCGCATCGGGACTATCCGATCCTGACTCCGTGTGAGCGGCAGCTTCTTCCATCGTAGCGGGCTCCTGGAATACCACGGATCTTGATGGTACGATGCTCCGGTATGTGTTGGCAGCTTGGGCCGTGGGCGTCTGGCTCTCAGAATTCGAGGAAGAAGACGGCGCAGTACTCCCCTGCTTCGTCAGAGAGGCAAATCCCAGGGATAGTATCGATCTTGCAGAAGGGAAGAAAGCAGATGAAGCTCCTTGCGGTGTCTCCGGGGAGGCCGAGTATTCGTGTCGATGCACAGCTGCAGCATCAGCGGTAATTCCTAGGTTGAGCTGCATTTCTGGACAGAGATGAGCATAAGGTCCGTCTCCGGCGCGTTTCTCTGAATGGTTTGTCTGCTCAGGGATTTCCAGGGTCCAAGTCCAAGTTGTGTCTGTTAATTTCACTCTGGCGTGTTAATATTCCCATTGGGCTCTTCTCCCAGGAAGGTATAAGATCGTGTGCGTTGTTGCTCGCAAGACGGTGCGTGATACAAACAACGAACACTCTGCCGGGAACGACAAGCTTGATTTTTCGATCCCAGCCTCAAGCCGGGCCACAGAACAATGGCAGAGGAAGAGATATATTCCGAGGTTTGGTCCTCGCTATCGCATTTTGTGATAATCACAGAAACTCTTCCCAATGCGTGCTCCGTATTTTTATAATTAACGACGTCGTGTCTGTACGCTCCGTGCTAACGGATGATTCAAGCAGAGCAATCCAACTTCTTTTCTCCCAAAGATATCTTGAGCAACAAGAGAGAATCACGTATATAACAACAGGTGTTCCTGTTTCAGAAATTCCACATGGGAACGGAGGATTGTACCCGTCGCGAGCCAATCTTTGTACAACAACCTCTCCCCCAATGGCGAAACCAGGCGAGGTCTTGGTCTTATATATAACCGTGTAATCAGGCCCCCTGGTTCGTGATGATCAGTTCACCCCTCGAAAAGGGGGGCAGACAGAGGCAACAGTGTTTGAGGAAGGGTACTGGAATAGGGGCGCAGAAGAAGGATGGATGCACTGATCCCACCTTGACCCAAGGGCATGTCCCTATATAAGAAAAAGGCTGAAACATACATGCCAGGCCTCACGGCCCGGTGCATCCATACCAGAACCCAGTACCCTCGAACCTACTGGGCCAATACTACGACCTTGGTTCCATGGCACAATCCGACCTCTTCCACAGCTATGCCGCGCCCCGATCAGCCTCATAACTGGCAACTTGTGCAGAAAATTATACGAAAGATGGCCCGTTTGAGTTCGTCCGGTGGCACTGCGGGATTCTCGCCTGCGGTCTGATGAGACATGAGACTATCCGTACTCCGGGTCTTGCTCTCGTTAGCCACAGATCCGAGCTTGATTTTTAACCCAAGCAGGTTCTCTTATTTCGTTTTCCTCCCTTTTTACTAGCATTGAGGCCAATCATGATGGCCCCGCCTCAACCCCTGCGAGAGTTTTCTTAGGTCTTGGTCGTTGCTGATCCTTAAAAACATGCTGAACAACAGGCTGGCGGCCATGTGGACTGTTCCTTTCGGATCCCTCGACACGCGATACTCCGTCCAGTTGGAGAGGATAACGACGACGTTGCTGTTGTTATATATAACTCACATACATATAAGACTGGGTGGAATGACATTTCTGATGCGGACCAAACCGTCAGCACTCGTTTCTCCGTTGAGTTAGCACGAAATCCACTCAGTATTACATACATCGACCTTGACCTAGAAGCTTGAACGCCCAAAATTACGCAACTTTCTATAGGCGGACAGCAAGATCTTCTCGGCGTTGTAACTACTTTACCTGCTTGCTCCACTGCGTCACCTGGGTCGAGAAACTCGCCAAAGGTTGTCGGAGCCATTTGGTACAAATCCTCCGTTCGACAGCTTATCGGGGGATCGGGCACACGACTAAGCGGTGGCTCTTGAATCCCGAGTGAAGACGGTCTGTGAGCTGGCGGAAGCCCATCAAGAATATGTAGCAGACCTGAAGGAAATGCGAGTTCTGTGGTGTGGTTGATTCTCATCGCAGGGGACCCCCGTTCTTCAAGTTGCTTGATGCTGGGGGTTCTTGAGACGGTGTGCACGCTGTCGTTAGCCGCAGGATCCGCCATTCGCTCCCGTCCAGCACCCGAATGAAGGGAAATGTGGATGTAAACGATTTCAACTCCTCGTAGAAATTCCGCCCGCTTCGGATAGCAAAGTTCTCCGTGCATCACATACGGGCGTACGGAGTAATCGCTGCATAAAACCGCATGCCTGGTGCCAGGGATAAATCTTGTTGCCTGGGGAGAGGTTTACGGAGTACTTCCTTTGGACGTTCCGCCATTTTCAATGTATCCCCCAATAAACAGCCACGCCTGCGGTGCTAGCTGTATCTAGTAACCGTTGCGTAAACGACAGGACCCGTCTCTGCTAGTTAGCTATTGAACCATTAGCTAGGTAGAAAGTAAGGGATAAACTGGACGAGAGACGGAACAATATCAACCAACGTCAAGCAAGACTTGGGTGAAGTGACCAATCAGATCTCGTGCAAATCAAAATAGTTCGTTGAATAAACGAGAGATCGCGGCTTAACGTACAGTCAAGCAGCTATCAAAGCAACCAAACATCAATGGCTCAGCCTCCTCGATAATCCACAAGTAGTTGCATCGATCTAACTACTTGGCTGGATCCGGAGTACAGGCGTTACCACCGAACCTTCCTTCTATGCAAGCGTAGACAAAGTGCGATGCCTTCATCTCGGATGACGACGAGGGCAATCGATCGCATTGGCACGCTTGACCGGCCAATCTACACTTTGACGAAATGCTTCTGCCTGTGGAAGACAGTTCTATTGCTTATTGTCCTCGCTAGTCCAGGGCCAGGATACGACACGTCAACGGCCTTGCTTCTCTCGCCCGACGGAGGAAATGCCGGTGAGCGGGGAGCGGGCAGCAGCGTGGCATGGCTGATATCGCATATTGGACATCGGCTGGCGAGATGGGACTCCATCTACTTTTTGAAGCTCGCACAGAGGGGATATTTTTTTGAGCAAGAATGGGCGTTTGGATACGGGTATACCAGGTTTTTATCATTTTTGCTTCCTGGTAAGTTGAGATCATGGCTATGTTCAAAAGAAGCGGACTGTTTGATACTGATATGGATATATAGAGTCCTTAAAGAGTCTGCAGAATCTCGCAGTGACTGCAGCTCTTCTTTCGAACATATGTCATTACCTGTCAGTTCTGGTGCTTTACGGGCTCTCCCGGGCTACCTTTAAGGGTAGCGGAAAGAATTACAATGCATTCCCCTTTTTAGCATCGGCATTGCATATCATCACTCCTGCTGGTGCTTTTATATCTGCACCCAATGGAGAAGCAGCATTTTCATTTCTCAACTTTTCAGGCTGCTATGCCTTTATTACGGCTCTCAACGATGAACGTCAAGGCAGTTACAATTTGAGAGATCTGAAGTTCCTGCTCGCGGGTGCACTTTTTGCTGCTGCTACTACGGTTAGAAGCAATGGTTTGCTTAGCGGTCTGCTATTCGCTTATGATGCGGTTTCTGGACTTCATCAGATACTTACGCATGGCTTGTCGTGGCAGGCTATACGACGCCTGGCTATGGTGTGTGCAGGTGGTAGCCTGATTCTGATAGGAATGGTTGGGCCGCAATATGTAGCATATAAGGACTTTTGTCTGTCTGAGCACCCGCGCCCGTGGTGCAGTCGCCCATTCCCAAGCATCTATGCATGGGTTCAATCCTATTACTGGTAAGCTATTCCTCCCTCGACCTGTTCCTGTTCCTCTGCCCGTGCCTTTATACTTGGGCGTCGGACTGCTGACTATCATGCTCCCAGGAATGTGGGCTTTCTAAGATACTGGACCTTCTCGAACATTCCTCTGCTCTGTATAGCAGCTCCCATGATAAGTATACTTGTCTATTCAGGTTTACGAGTATGGGCGAGCCTCATCCCGATGCTCCCTGGGAAAGTAGAAGATGAGAGGGCCGATCAAGCACCGAGCCATAGCGTGAGATACCAGGCCAGGCTTGCTCTACCTCAGGTCGTGCTTGCTACTCTAGCAGTGACTCATTATCACATCCAGATTGTGAACCGGATATCGTCAGGGTATCCGCTGTGGTACTGGTTCCTGGCATCGCGCCTGGTGGCAGAGAAGAGAAAAGAAACTCCATCAACGCCGCCTTTCTGGCCCGGCTCTCACGTAGTCATGCGTGTAATCATGTTGTATGCGCTGATCCAGGGCTGCCTCTTTGCCTCCTTCCTTCCTCCGGCCTGAGCAGCCAGGCTACCAAAGCTGACGAACGCATCTCCATGTAACTAGACTACCTAGCTATGTCCTTCAAGCTAGCTGCGTAGATACTTCTGCCTGACCATCTCACCAGGCCATATAGCTCACTTCACCGTCCTCCATCTCTCTCTCCTTCACTTCCACTCCCACTCCTGCTGCTCCTTTTCTCTCTCGCAGTTTGATATCTGTTGAGCCTCCTCCACGCAAGGCAACTAGTGAACTGTTAGTTATGTCATCCTGTCTTGGCGTCTCCAACAACCAAAAAAGCTTCCAGGAAGTTGTTTTCGCTGCGACTTTAGAGCTTTAGCAAAATACAGAAACATCGCCACAAGGTCGACTAAGTGAGGCGGATGAGCTTCGCATCTCCTAAGGCTGATAGCTTCGTTCTGCGGGCGGTATTTGCTGCTTGACGCTGCTGCCGCGGACGAACCATTGTGACTGTTGGGTTGTTGTCACCAACAGGTTGCACACGACCCTTGGTAGCCAGGTAACGAGTTACTCTGTACCTGACAAGCACAACAAGCACTACACGCCAAATGCTCACGCAGGCTGCAACTTTTGATCGAAGCCATCAAACTGTGAATTAGTTGAGCAACCCAGTTACGGGAGCCAGTAAGAGTGCCGTTATAAACCTTCCCCTGGAAATTTTCTAGAGCTCTAGGATGTCTCTATGTTTGTGGACCCTGACCTTTCTAACGTGGTTTTGCAATCTAGCACCGTCACCACCATAACCTCCCTTAATACTCTCTACATGCTCGATAGACACGCACCCAGAAAATGAATACCGATCGATTCCCAGATGTGCTGGCGGCCAACCTGGCTGCCGTTGGTGATGAGATCTCACGGGCCACCTCCCCTGGTGGAGAGTCCACGCAACTCAACGGCGCCGTGCCAGAAGACGACCGCTCCAAAAAGGCTCGTAGCCGGCCGAGGACATACCCATACTTCCAGCACTCCCCCTACGAGCTAGAGGATGATACGTTACGACAACACAACTTTGAAGAGATCCTCAAGCACCTCTACGTGGCCATCGAGTCTGGAGACTTTAACACAGGGGCGGTCCACTGGACTCGAGAACTCCGGGGTTGGCTATCTCTGAAGTTTGATCCCACCAGAGAGCAACGGACAAAGCTGGTGAAGCTTTACTATGAGCTTGCCCTTGCTCCCGGCGTTGAATCTGCAGCTGCAGAACGCTTTTCCAGCATGTTCATGGTGCTTACCAAGTAAGTACTAATATCACGCGTCAAAACTATGTACTACCCTACTTACGATTCTTATTTTCAAGGAGGAAACATTACCTTCGTCCAACCAAGGACTTAGTCCTTGACTGGAAACCGCTGTACAGAGAGCTGAAAGTGTTTGTGCTTCCCTCAGAGGCGGGACTCGTACACTCAATGAGCAACAAACGCAATATCAAGACTTTGATAAAGCTCTGTTCCTTTGCACAATTCTATTTTGATCCCCTTGAGCTTCCAAACATGCTACAAGAATTTCTCCCCTATTTCACAACGTCATTCACCGAAGGAGCCTTTATTGCAGTCGGGCTCATGAACCTGTTCGCCTCTACAGCACCCGCACCTTCAGAGAGGCTCGATTTACTCCCACAACATTACCTTCCAACCTATTTCCACCTGTGGTCCCTGGTAAACCGCTCCAGGACGTTTGATATGAGTTTCCTAGATATTCTATCACGATTAGCTCGCGATTCTCTCCCTGCTAAACATATTCAATTTTCTGAATTCGGAATTTTCACTGCTGAACAAACTTCCCTTATTTTTACTGCTATCCTGAGGCTGCTTGAAATTCCAGTCGGACAGGCAACGTCGTCCTACAGCGAAGTCGTTGACGTGTCTGCTGGGTTGGGCATAATGCTCGATCGGGATTCAAGAAATCACCCAGTCACACACGACATTGCTAGATGGACTGTCATGTCTCTCTCACCAGCCTGTGCAGAGTCTAAAGACTCGCTTCTTAGCAGATTAGAGGGCCTGATACAAGCTGTGGAAACATTCTTCCATCCTTCGAATTCAGGAACATGGACGAGAACCCTCTCAGAGCTGGTTAACTACCTTGCAGACTTCTTTGTAATGCGATGGAACCGGGAACGAAACGGGGAAATGGAAGTTCCCCCAGAGAGACGGTTAAATGATGCCGTTAAACGACGATTTATATTATGTCTGCGGGATGTGACATTCATGGGTATCTATGCTAAAAGTGGTACAGCCATGAACTTCTCACTCTCAACCCTGCAATCCTTGGCATATCTTGAGCCGAATCTCATTCTGCCCGGAGCTTTGCAGCGAATCTACCCATCTATGCAAGGTCTGGTGGAGGTACACAGAACTGCATCTTCTCTCCGCTCCTTGCAGGTCTTGTCAAGAATTATGGTACGGACAAAAGGGTTCCGCTGCCACATTACCACTTTACTAGGTCTGGCCCTGCCTGGAATTGATGCCAATGATTTGGGCAAATCGCTGCACTCCCTTGCATTCATTCAGTCTGTGTGCTATAATATACCCTTCGAAGACCTTACGAAGGGCCGTGACGATGTTAATGGAAACATGATTGCCGTCGAATGGGTTACTGGAGAATTAGAGCGCATGGAAGAACAAGGCGCTTCTATTGAAATGAATTACGATACTGAGCTCTCCGATGAAGATGAAGAAAAAATCTTACGTTCATCTACCACAGAATTCGGCGAGTTCCTCATCTCGTTCCTAGGCCGGGTTTTCACACTGTTAGAGAACCTGCCTGATGCAGCGCGAGTACGCAGCGGCTCACCAGAAGAAAATGTCCTCAACACGTTACCTGCTACTTTCCTTCCTCTTCTATCCACCCTTTCCCCAGAGTTGTATGACATAGCTCTGAATAAAATTGTGAACTTTGTCTCTGACCGGGTTATACACCAAGCACGAGATGCGATGGCTTTCATTTGCAATTCTCTCTGCAAGGTCAACCCCGAAAAGGCGCTAAAGCGCTTCATTCCTTTGCTTATTCGAAATATCCGCACCGAAATTGATGAAAATGGTGCAGCATCCACAAGAACAACAGGAAGTGATGTTTTACCTCGCGACCGTGGCCTGGTATGGAATATCAGTATGCTGAGCATGTGTGTAGTCCATGTCGGGGAAGCCATCTTGAAATATAAACAGGAGCTCCTCGACATTGCATTGTACATGCAGCGAAAGTGCAAGGGTATTCCAACTATCCATATCTCGAACTTTATTCACCACCTTCTCCTGAACCTTACCATGACCACCATTGTGGACTACAGTATGTATGAACCACATTTATACCCCAAAGGTATTCAGGTTGAGCAGTGGGGTCAGAAACAAGACCTAAGCAAACTTAGCGTCAACTGGCATGTTCCACAAAGAGAAGAAATAGAGTTTGCCGCCGAACTGTTTACTTCTCAAGTGGAAGCTGCCTTGTCGTCCTTAACATCCCTGATAAGTGACACACCAAGCATCAAACGTGATGGCAGTGGCAAAGATTGGTCCGATGAAGTAACGAGGAATATCGTGCTACTCAGGCTAATTATAGCTGGAGTCTCTGCCCTATTTGACAACAGAGCAGCTTCAAAATGCCGTGAAAGTGAGGTTCCTGAACAGGGTGGCGCATACGTTTCCCGAGATGAAGACATGTCCACCGATGAGGAAGCAGAGATCGATGACACTGACTCTCCTTTGGATATTTCGGAGGAATGTACTATCAGGCCTTCTTATGAATACCCAGCTGGATATCTGTTGACAGAGGATGACCCTCTGTATATTGCCCTTCATGAAATTAGGGAGCGAATTGGCCATGTTCTACACAAGGTTCACAGATTCCTAGTTGATAAACAGGAGGATGATGTGGCATGCTTCTCCTCGCTATACACTGCCTATCGGTGCTGGTTCATTGACGTCGGGATTGAGCGGTCCGCTCACCTGCTAGATCGTGTTTCGAAATTATACGGTGCTGATATCCATCCGTACAAAATGAGTGGCATAAGGAAGGATTACCCTCGCCCGCTACTTGTACGCCGGGCATATGTATATCATTTACAACGACTCCGCCATAACGCAGCTCCAAGACCGCGATCAAAATTGGATACAGTCCTCTTGCTTGACTTAGCCGAGTCTAGCGTGTCAATATACACAGATATTAGACGAAACGCCCAGTCAGCTTCGGAGTCCGCACTTCGCTCTATCTGGGGTTCACGAGTCCTTCTAATTCGACCGTTGCTCAAAGCCTTCCAGATGGCCCTGAAAGCTAATGAAATCCCTCGTATTCAGGGTGCGATTTATTCTCTGATGTATAGCAGTTTGGCCAAACCAGTGGGTCGTCATTGGAAGTATACCCCTGCTCTTATCAGAGCATTCCTTGACACCACTGCTGTCGACAAACCATCCATCCAAAAGCTCTGCAGTGGCTCTCTATTTCAAATTGTAGAGTACGGCCATACCACGAATAGAATGGCTATCCTTAATCAGGATATCATAAGAGCTATTGTTCCAATTGATGAGTCGATGGCTTCCCAGATTGAAGCCAAACGGAAATCTATTGAAAAGAAGTGGCGTTCCATTGAGAAAAGAAAGCTAGAAATGGCAGAGGAGCTCGTTGAGCTGGCCAGAGCATCTCATTGGAAGAAAACAATTCGAACATCTGCAATTGCCTTTAACTTGGGACTACGCTTTGATCACATTGCCAGTGAAAACCTAATCGAGCTTATTATTAAGGGTTCCGTGGACTCTCACCCAGGTCTGCGATGGATGTATGCTCAGTCATTGACTGCACTTTTCACTATCACCGAAGTCAGGGCTATTTGCCACCATAGCTACAAAGACTACATCCTTGGGAATTATTGCCTCCCGTCAAAGATACAAGTCCCTACGCACCCCGAAGACCCTAATTGGACAGCTTCCTACCTTGCAAGCTTTGCGCATCCTGAAGCAGAATATTATATCGACCATGACCACCCTGGATTCTTAGTCTGGAATAAGACGATGCCAGCGTACAAAGCCAATGTCGAAACAGATATTATTTTTGACTCCCTTGAATGGAACATCCGCAAGTTTATGGGCACGCTCTTCACCCGGGAATGGATTTCGACTTATTTCACATACCTCAAACAAGAGCCCCGGGATGTCAGTGCTGATAAGTTCCGAATGTCGACTTCCTCTCTACTGGTATATGTATTCCAGCTTCTACTCCGCGACGAGCTCACTGCAGTCACCTTCGAAGAAGTTAAGAAAGAAATAGAGATTGTCTATGAAGATGGCAGTGACAAGCACCAACATCGTGCTACAGCCGAAATATTGGCTGGACTTGTCTGTTCAGTGACTGATGTCAAAGTCCAGACGCGCACGGAGATATGGGAATACGCCTTTGCGTTCTTCCGAAAAGTCTTTTCCGATTCACTCACTCCTGAGAACTGCGACTATTGGTCTAGCTGCCTTCGAATGATCATGCAATGTAGAGACCCTCGCCGTTCTTGGCCCTTGGTGGACTGGCTGTCTAGTTTCCGCCTGGATATGACTTCCAACGCTGCTTTCAAGGAGAGTTCGAAAATCAACTTACTCCACCGATGTATCGTGGATGCTGGTTGGCACTTTCAACTTGCACAACCCATTCTCGATGACTTTTTAGCTCATCTTGACCATCCCTACAAGGGAGTCCGTGAAGCCATGGGAAATACGCTTGCCTCCATCTACCGTACACGATACCATGAGTCATATGCGAGTGTTGACCAGTTGATCGAACACCAGAAGAAAACTTCGTCAACCGGCAGCCGTGCCTATAAACCAACCGATGAGTTCGTGGCTACGATTACCGAAGTCTTCGATAGAATTGAAAAATGGCGACATCAGAGAAAACCTGGTCAACAAACTCCATCCTCCTATACGTCCGGCTGTAAAACAGTGCTGCTATGGCTTGATTCGACCTTGTACTCATACGAATGCACCCAGCTCGTACAGTTTTTCCCAAACTTGTTTACAGAGCAGCTTCTACATATGATGGACGTCAAGGAAGACCCTGAGCTGCAATCTCTAGCATACCACGTTTTCCGCCATCTTCCCAACATCCCACATCCCAGTGGTGAAGATACCGACTTTATTAATTCTCTCATCCGAATTGGTCGCACTTCCCCATCGTGGCACCAACGCCTTCGTGTCATGATCAACATGCAAATTATCTATTTCAGAAGACTGTTCTTACTATCCTCCACCGATCGCGAGAACTTATTTGAATGTGTTGCCAGTATGCTTTCCGACCCCCAGCATGAAGTTAGGGCCGGAGCCTCCGCAACACTGTCTGGCATGGTCCGATGCTCACCTGTCGCTCTCCGGCAAAACATTGTCATGAAACTGCTCGACCGATTCACGACATCCCTTGTTCAACATCCCTTACCCAAGAAACGGAGAATCATCTCTTCTGGATTCTCCTCTGCTACATCTACAGGTGCAAGCACGCCAACTCCAGAACACACCAAACTTATCATCACACGCCATGCTGCCGTTCTGGGCGTAGGAGCCCTGATCCAGGCTTTCCCATACACTAGTCCTCCACCAAGCTGGATGCCTGATGCATTGACAACACTTAGCACCAAAGCTGGTGGGGATCCTGGCGTTGTTGGACAAAGTGTGAAAACGATCATCAGTGACTTTAAGAAAACTAGGCAGGATACATGGCATATAGATGTCAAGGTAAGTCAATATAAAATTCGATTTCAATTGGGGTTTTGATACTAATAGGCTTCATTCATTAGTCCTTTAAACCAGATCAAATTGAAGATTTAGCTGGGGTCTTGTGGAAAAGTTATTTTGCTTAAAGGTCAAATGTCTCATGGTCTAAGGGGCGACAATACTTTTTGCAGGCATGTCTCTTCTTCTGATCAGTGGGAAAGAAGAGTTTTAGTTCAACCTTGTATTAATTACCCTATGCATGGATTTGGATGTTGAGGAGGCATGGCATGATGATGTTTGGGCAAAGCTTAGTATACGATTAGGGCATTTTGCACGAAAATTTAACATGGAATAAACTTGTGCCTGGACTTTCAAATTCAGCTCTAGTAATGTGTTATAATGTTTGACGGTGTTCTATTTAAACATAGGCCTCTAAGGCCTTTTACTCTAGTTACGAACCAGATAGAGTAATACAGGGTGACAGATAACCTCCTCTTTGCTAGGGGGACATGGCTAGTCTAAGTTTGCTCTAGAGGCTTATTTATAGAGGATTACCTACTACCCAATAGGTAGAGCTACAAAAAGACACTATAGCGGGTGTCTGGATGAAATCCGGCTAAACGACCTCCCATTTCAGTATATATCAGCCACTAAGTATAAAATCTCACAGCTTGACTACAAAGCATATACCACCAAGGGTTAGCATAGCAATCACCAACGCTTCCATGCTAGAAATCATACCTTCAATGATGATAATTAGGTCACACACATTCCATCCTTTCAAAAACCGCTGGTGGCTCTACAACAATTGTCATTCCGGGCCTAATATCACCACCAGCCTCCACAACTCCCATTATTCCAGCCTTTCGGTCAACTATAGTCCGGTTGGAGTCCCGAACTATGAAATGCTCCTTCAACCCACTTCTGAACTTGTCAATCTGAGGACACGGATTTCTCAGTCCAGTCACTGTGACTACCGGAGAGTCTGCGGTCGGTGAATTCTGGTCCACAAAACGGAGTTTCGTCCCCTTGCTGAGAGCCAGAAGGTCTATTCCCTCCGTAGTAACGTTTTCGCCAAGCTGGCCGGGCTTGACATTAACGGTCGTGAGCATCTCATACGGCATAAGGTGAACCTGACGCAGGTTCTGAGGTGGCGGGTTTATATGAAGCCTAGAACGATGCTGTACATGTGTTCCAAAGTGTGCATCGCCTTTGACTCCTAGGTTTTCAACCAAGGTAATGTTTGGCGCGGTGCATTTCGAAAAGTCATGGCTTCCTGAGACGGAGACGCTGAGAACAGACATCGTGAGGTACTTGATATCTTTCTTGAGTGTGCACAGCTAGACGCCTCGATGGTCCTGTGGCCCTTGCCAGAGCTGAGGAGGGGAATGCACATGCACCCCTCACCATGTTTTATTTATACCACGGAGTACGGAGCACTTCCATGCCATCATCCATCGGCCTCGGGCTACCAATCGACGCATCGCGATTTCTCGTACTCCGTACTTTTCGACTAAAAATTTAGCTCTTAAAGTTTAACTCTAATCTACATTATGTAATTGCAAATTAGTCATATTTTAGTCATCTACACGTGACATCCTAATCTGGCAGGCAGAACGTTTAGCTTGCAAACAGCGACGAAGCCGGTTGTTTTGAAGCCATCCATCTCGACTTGCGTTGACCGCATTCTGCTCTTTGTCTTTGCTTCGGTACAGAAGCACTGTTTAATAACTTGGGCTAGACTACTGGACAGGGCGCAGAGCCCCCGCCGGCCGTCACGATGGGCCCAACTCAGGACACCCTCTTCCGCTCGGCGGACATGAGCTTGACCCAGCTCTATATTGCGAACGAAATCGGCCGTGAAGTCGTCAGTGCTCTTGGTGAGCTTGGACAGGTCCAGTTCAGAGATGTGAGGATGCAGAGCCCCTGTTATCATGGTTTATTTTGATGGTATAGTGATGCTGACATGGTGGTTTGTGGATAGCTGAATGAGGAGACCACCGCATTCCAAAAGACCTTTACGAGCGAGATTCGGCGATTAGACAATGTGGAAAGACAGCTTCGTACGTGTGACCTCTATGTATGATGGTCAGCCTGTGTGTACAAGGCCGCTAACGATGGCTTTTCCCTAGGATACTTCCATGCCCAGATGCAGAAGGCCGATATTGAGATGCGTCCATCTGAGGAGTTCTCTAACAACCTGGCTGCTCCTATGGCATCCGAAATTGACGAGCTTGCTGAGCGAAGCGAGAGCCTTGAACAGCGTGTCTCCTCGCTGAATGAAAGTTATGAAGCCTTGAAGAGACGTGAGGTTGAGCTCATTGAGCGACGTTGGGTGCTCAGGGAAGCTGGTGGCTTTTTCGACCGGGTATATATATACCCTGATATAACAGCTCTATACTTTTTTACCATTTGATATGCTAATCAAGGACCTAGGCACATGGACAAACCGATGAAATCAGACAGTCCTTCGATAATGACGAAGCTCCACTCTTGAGAGATATTGAGCAACAGCCACCAAGAGGCCAGAATGGGGATGCTCAACACTCGTCATTCTCTGTCATGGATATTGGTTTTGTTGCCGGTGTTATCCCCAGGGATCGCATTGGAGCCTTTGAGCGAATCCTTTGGCGTACCCTCCGTGGCAACCTCTACATGAACCAATCTGAAATTCCAGACCCCATCGTCGACCCAGCCACCAACGAAGAAATCCATAAGAACGTCTTCGTTATCTTCGCTCACGGAAAGGAAATTATCGCGAAGATCAGAAAGATCTCAGAATCTCTAGGTGCCAACTTGCATGCCGTAGACGAGAACAGCGAACTTCGAAGGGATCAGATCCACGATGTCAACTCTCGCTTGACTGATGTTGGCAATGTCCTGCGCAATACAAAGAACGCACTCGACGCCGAGTTGACGCAAATCGCCCGCTCCCTTGCTGCTTGGATGATTATTGTCAAGAAGGAGAAGGCGGTTTACCATGCACTTAACAAGTTTTCCTATGATCAAGCTCGCAAGACATTGATTGCGGAGGCATGGTGCCCTACAAACTCGCTTGGCCTGATCAAGTCAACCCTGCAGGATGTTAATGATCGTGCTGGTCTCTCAGTTCCTACCATCGTCAACCAGATCCGTACTAACAAGACACCACCGACTTATATGAAAACCAACAAGTTTACCCAGTCCTTCCAGCTTATCGTCGATGCATACGGTACTTCGAAGTACCAAGAAGTCAACCCTGGTCTTCCTACTATCGTCACTTTCCCATTCTTCTTCGCTGTTATGTTTGGTGACTTCGGCCATGCTATGCTTATGACAATGCTCGCTGTCACCCTTATTCTGTTCGAAAGAAAACTCGGAAAGACCAAGCTCGATGAATTGAGCTCTATGGCATTTTCTGGCCGATATATCATGTTGATGATGGGAATCTTTGCCATGTATACTGGATTGATTTATAACGATATCTTTTCCAAGTCAATGGACCTCTTCCAGAGTGCCTGGGCATGGCCAGAGGACTTCAACGAAAATGAAACCGTTTTTGCTGAGCTCAAAGGCTCCTACAGATATCCATTTGGTTTGGATTGGGGATGGCACGGGACAGACAACAACCTGCTTTTCACCAACAGTTACAAGATGAAGTTGAGTATCATTCTCGGTTGGTCACATGTAAGTGTTTTCTCCTAATCTCTTCTTCAGACAGTTTCGAGGTGCTAACGGTACAACTAGATGACATACTCCCTCTGCCAGTCCTTTGTCAATGCTCGCCACTTCAAGAAGCCTATTGAGATCTGGGGAAACTTCATTCCTGGAATGATCTTTTTCCAATCCATCTTTGGATACCTCGTTTTTACAATCATTTACAAATGGTCTGTTGATTGGAAGGGTCTCGGTCTTCCAGCACCAGGTCTCCTGAACATGCTGATCTTTATGTTCTTGCAGCCTGGCCGTGTTGACGACGAGCTCTACCATGGTCAGGCCACCGTTCAAAAGATTCTACTCTTTGTAGCTCTGATTCAAGTCCCAATACTCCTCCTTCTCAAGCCCCTATATCTCCGCTGGGAACACAACCGTGCTCGTGCCCTTGGTTACAGGGGGTTGAACGAAGCTGCCCACACCAGTGCCGTGGATGACGATGATGAACAGCAAAATCTAATTTCCGGCCAGCGCGACAGCATGGGTGACGGAGAGGGTATCGGAATGGTTACGCAAGACATGAATGAAGGCGAAGAACAGCATGAGTTCGAATTTTCAGAGGAAATGATTCACCAGGTCATTCATACTATCGGTATGTACCTCCCTCGCCATTTCCGTTTACCACCTTAACCACACTTTCCATACGGCTACTAAGCAGTTGCTAACCTGATACTACTAGAATTCTGCCTTAACTGCGTTTCTCACACTGCTTCATACCTCCGTCTTTGGGCTCTTTCCCTTGCCCATCAACAGCTTTCCTCCGTCCTCTGGAGCATGACCCTCGGCGGTGCTTTTACCCAAAGCTCCCCAGTTCTTCGAGTGATCATGACCATCATCACATTCTACCTCTGGTTCGTGCTCACCATCTCCATTCTTTGTGTTATGGAAGGAACCAGTGCCATGCTTCACTCTCTCCGTCTCCACTGGGTTGAAGCAATGAGCAAGCATTTCATTGGTGATGGCATACCATTTACACCTTTCAGCTTCGAAGCTATTCTGCAAGAGGATCCAGTAGACTAATGTCGTGTATTCTTGTCCTTTCTTTTTGTATCCTATTTCCGGTTTATCTTGTCTTACAACATATCGCCAGCTATCTATAATCACTTTTTCCCATTGGAGAAACCTGCATTTTCCTTTACACCTCTACAGTGCGATGTACTATATACGCGTCTGCCACACTATATATCCCTGATAAATATATTTCGACTCTTAGAAGCTATCTATCCGTCAAACCGGCCGGTTTAGGCAACGCAGGTTACCTATGAATATCTATCCTGGGGTCTAAACAAAATAAAAAAAAAAAGATCGAAAGTTATTGGTAAACATCCCTAACAGTTCTACCTTATTGTCTCCCATTACCCCCAATACACCCATCTACAATGTCTTAGAATAAAGCAGCAAAATTTACGAGCACCTATGTCTATAACCAAGCGGTGCTATTGGTGCGCTCAGTTCTTCTAACATACCAATAACTACCTGGTCAGCCAATAGACAACTCGATCTTACTTCACCATCTAGCATCTGTAACTAGTAGAAGTACTCCCCTTATGGCGCCAATTTCATTCAATATCCATGGGAGTGAAGTATGAAGTGACTGCGAAATGAGAGTGTCTTCACTGCTTATATTCCAGTCGCCGCTTCACTGTAACCAACTAGCCCATTTGGTGTATTTAAGCAAGGAAGCCTCCCGAATCAACAAAAAAGTAACCAGTATACAGACATTCAGGAGCTGAGTTTTTATGCAATATAGGAGCAATATGGTCCACTCCAAAACCTTTTGACAGCGCATATGGAGATATAAATGTAGGTATTGAGAAAGCGAATATGATACATAAACTATGGCACTAGGTAAAAACAGACCAGTCATGGAATTTGGTGAAAGACTCGAGGCTAACCGGCTATTGGTAGGAATACAACCGATAACTAACCATGCCTAATGGTTCTCGAGAAATTTATTAGATAAACCTGGGCTATCTCCTAAATAATACACTAAGCGGTCAAAGATTCCAGCACAGATACGAGTGCCACTTCCGCCTAGCGTTTACTTCCCCATTGCGTGAGGGTGTTTTAATCGTTGGGGCGCCCGGGCCTGCGAGGTTGCCAGTAAATGCCAGGCGGATGCTTACAGCCAAAGACTTGAACGACATCCGCCTTCACTGGCCAAGATCTATTGGTATCAGAATTCTCAACTGCAGCCCTGGAAGCCCGCCTGGGACAAGATCCAGACCCATGTTCACATCCGGAGAGGAAAGCAACGTGTTAGTGAATCGTCCCTACAGAAGTACGGGACGCTTTTCCTAAGGGTGGAAGCGGTAGAGAAATGAAGTACTCATCCCAGGTGCCATGATACCACCAGCTGGACTAGACTGGACTGGCATGCCTGGTTTTTACTTACCGTTCGCGTCGCCAACATGTGGTCCATCGAGGGCGTACCTTTCCAGCAAAACCTTCTCCGTTCAAACAGACAATGTGCTCCGTTCGGGACAGCGAACCGCAGAAACAGCAGAAGCAAGAGGAGGTCATAGTACTGGACGATGACTCTGACGAGGCTCCAGTTGTTGACCTGACAGAGGAAGGCTGATCATCTGCGGGTACAGCAACTGTACTGCGAACTACCTAACGGCACTGTCAAGTATACAACTTCAACCTCCGTGGGAGTGAATAACAGCTCATTTTCAATAAAGTCGGCGCCGCTTTTCAAGCGGTCATCCCTTGTGCTGGGATATTCCAAGAAGGTGAGTTTGCATTTTCACTTCCTACTTATTCCCGAAGTTATATTCCCTCCTGACAACGGGCATCGAGAAAAACACAGACGGCTAGGCCGCCGTTGGCGATGGCAGTCAACAGCTCAAGACGACCAGAGGGACGGCCGAGGACTGGGCCTCTCGTTAATGCTATCTAACCGGGATGCAAAGTTCATGGGTCGTTTCTGGAGAGGGCCTATGAACGACCTTCATATCACCCCAGAGAAGGCGGGGCAGCCGTCCAACTGAATACCTCTCTTGAGGTATTCAGGCCACTTCGGCACCGAAAAGACACGGATGTGTTGTGCAATCTGACGGCGTCGATCACGCGCAGGGCGTGGTGGACGTCTACCAACGAGATCAGACATGATGGGATGACGACGCGACTGTATGCAGATTGAGGCACGCACGTCCTTATAGTGTAAGGAGCGAGATGATCACAAATGCACTGTCACCAAAAGCGCTGGACCGATCGACGCTGCGCACATCGTCCCACGATTGGGCCGGGAGTGGAACTCCGCGATCTCATCCGCCTGGAGCTACTGAGAAGGCTGAAGGGTTTCTTGGGCAGCTCTCCTCCTCCGCGATGTCCAGTCCCTAGAAGAGTTATGCCAGTCATTGGACAATACGACTGGGATAGGAAAAGGTTTAATCCAGCAAGCACTCCTTAACTTGAATCGGGAGGGCGAAATCATCAAAAAATGTTAGTTTGAGGTGTCCCCGTCTTTCGATTGTTTCCGTGCTTGACATATCGATTTCACTGTTGGCAGAGGTCAGAAACATCGTCTAAGTTCCACCACTGGTTCAAGCGGGAACAGCAGATCCAAACCAGCTAGACTCGCACACATTACCCAGGGTATCCTGTATCCTTGGGGCATCGGACCTTTTGGTCCCTTGTGGTCTAAGTGTACGAAGGACCAGGTCCTGTTAAAACACAGGAAGCCACCGTAACCAAGAGCGCCAGGGTTTATTCTACCAGTGGTGCAATCATAATCCGTTTCCAGGACCCTTTTTTTGCGGGCAGCAGCTGGCAACGGGGAGCGCGATAGTGTCTCATCATGCGGACCTGGAAGAGTTGGTGGAGCTGCTTTGGAGGATTTAGATGCTCTTGGGCCAAATGGCCGTAGTTAGTGAAATGATTGTTCTGTCGCTGTATTGTAGTATTAACTAGTTAGTTAGTTCCGCGGTTATACCAGGCCAAGTCCCATATAACTAGCCACTAGGTAATGCCATCATCGCCTCACTTCCTTTCCTATTCCTTTCAACGTCTCTGCCAGATTTCTCTCCTCTCTTTCCCTTCCTCTACTAGAGGTAAGGAGCATTACGCCCATACCTACCAAGATGCCCTTTTGATACGTCAGGAGCGACACAAAAGAAAAAGAGGCTTGCCGGAATCCCCCGGGGTTACTTGACTCCCACTTCTGTGTCTGTCCATTCAGGCGTTGTCTTAATCTTGGGATACTTTGGTGGCACTCTATGACACAAATTTCGGTGAAGATGGAGTGTCTATAAAAGGCCCTAGGGATTATACGTAGAGGCTTCTTTAAGAAAATCAACTACTTCAACACCAATTTCCTCGTCTTTTAGTTACTCATTACAAGCTTCGTGCTTTCCAAACTCTCTATATTACTCTATACAAGATGCGTTTCTTCGTGGCCGGTCTTCTTACGATGGCAGCCTGTGTGCTCGCTGATGCGGGTGATAAGATTGTACGTTCCCATAGTCTTTTTAATATGCTTTCACGCCATCTAACGCACCAATAGGGAAGCCTGCACCAGGACGCCGAATGCGCAGGCACTGCCGCTGGAGATCTGATTGATAACAAGTGCACCAAAATCGCAGATATCACGTATGTGCTACTCCCACTATATATCAAACCAATCAGCTAACTTGATTAAAAGATCCATCAATTTCGCCGCACCCTATACTGTCTGCTATACATTTTTGTAAGTCGACTCTTAAGTCCTGATTGACGATAACGCATAGAGTAAACTATGACACTAACAGTGTACAGGACCGATGATTGTCAAGGCGATCCCAAAGGCATTGAGGATCTGGGGTTGCGCTGTTCAACAGTCGCGGAATGGTCGGAGGGTAGACCTGCGGTCATTTGCTTTGGCGATACCGGCTCTGGTGGTCACTAGAGTCCATTCGATGGGCGCGGGTTGGCTGCTTTAGAGGATGCTTATTTTTCTTCGAGACAGGATGGCCTCCAGCTGATAGTTGGCCACATGGCCTCAGCCATCGATCTCTTTTATCGGTCATTGGAGTGGCTTCTATGAAGTAGATATGTGTTCAATACCGATTTGTTACCGCCGATTATTATATATTCTTATCCTCTATCTTCATTATATACCTACCTAGGTAGGTATATATATATAGAGCTAACTTAATCTCTACGATTCTTTTTATCTTATGCTGCTCCGTTGTGTCTGGACCCTGATTACTTATTAAGGGTTTAGTCACGTGATGGTTTCCAGCCTCCGAGATTACTAAGAAAAGCAGATCGGGTGTGCGCGGCAGGAGCTAAGCGAGGTAAGCGAGATAAGCGAGATCAAGTGACTACGGAGTACGGAGTAGTGGAGGTGAAGTCCTTATATTAGCACAGAATCCCCACCACAAAATTTCTTTTCCTTTCCCGACACATGCCATCCGCACCACTCATAGGCTACAACCAGCGCTTGCCCTGCCGATCTTGACGAAGCTGCCTGGTGATGCTTTCAGTTGTCCTATGTTGGAATATATCACTTTAACTAAGACTCGCACTCATTACCCAAGGTATCCTTGGGGCATTAAACTTTTTTATCCCTTGTGGTCCGTCCTACTCTATTTGTGGATGCTGAAAGGCGATTTTCTGATGACTAGTGGCTTTCCGCTAGTAGGGACCTAAGAGAACTACTAGAAGCCAATAGCCTCTCCATATCCAATGTAGAGATATGCGATGGCCGAGTGAACTTAATAAAACACTCCTGACCCGATTTATCCTTTGTGGGACGATGTTCTGAATCAGGAACTACAGGAGATTGACTTAACGCATATCCTTATAATTGACTGCTTACGCTTTGGGGAAAAGTATTATTAGAGCTATGAACCCGACAGCTATCATTCTTACTATTGATCGCGTCTCGGCAGACCATTCTTGGAAAGCTACACGAGAAATGGTACTTTCAATACTTAACAAATATAACTTGTATAGCAACAGCGAAACACGGCAAGCAGACTGGGCCAAAGGCCAGGCAGTCAAGAAACATGGTATGCTTATCTCCCGTATACTTCATATAATGTCTTCCTTATACTAACTTCTTGTTAGATCGTAATGTACGGAGGGATCAGTCCTTACGCTGATACGATACCATCGCAGCCTTGTCCAGGGATCCCTCATGAAGAGACTGAACTCTTCAAGAACTCTTCAAGCTGGGTCGATCTACAAAAAAGACAAGAGGGCTTTTCTCTGGACTAAGCAGTGCGCACATTCGCACACCTGATGGTCAGGGTGGAATATCGAATATAGTCACTCATGAGTACACCGTCACAGGCGCTTCAGGGATGCTATTTTCAGACCCCGGAGACTCCGGCGCTTTAGTCTTTGACGACACCGCCAACTGTATTGGGTTGATCTTCGTCGGCAATAAGTATACCAGAGCGTCTTATATCACGCTCCTACCTGACTTGTTCAACGGTATCAAGATTATCACCGGCGCCGTTAACGTCCGCATTGCAGAATAAATGACTTCGGCTAAGGATTTAAGCATTTAGATGATCGGTTGTTGAACTTCCTACTTGCTGTTAAATTAAAAAGCAACGCTGCTTAGTTAGCAGCAGCGAATGAATGAGGATAATAGTATGTCTGACACTTGCACTTGTGCTGCTCCACAGAGAGGGTGTGTGATATAATGTTGGACCACAAGGGACAAAAGGTCTAATGCCCCAATGATACCTCGGGTAATAAGCGCGAGTCGTGGCTAAAGTGGAGTATTCTAATCGGAAAACCTGAAAGCATCACCCGGCAGCTTCGTCAAGGTTGGCAGGGCAAGCAAGCGCTGGTTGTAGCCTCTGGGTGGTGCGGATGGCGCGTGTGGGCCTTCTGTGCTAATATACGGACTCTACATGTCAAATATCATATAGCCAGCGCAACTGGTGGAATTGGTGTAGCGTGTCTTGACTAACGGTCAGGACTCGTCGTTTTCGCCCCGTTGACACACCACCGCCACCCGGATGACGTTAATGGTCTCCGCCAGAGACTGTTGACGTTAGAACGGTCCAGGCACTACCTAGAGTGACAGCGGCACTCGCACGACGTAGTGTCAACACATCCAACACCAAATTGATACCAATGACGTAGCGTGTCACAGGACACGCTACATTCCCTGAGCACGTTCGGCCAGAGATGGCCGCCCACTGCTATTCAGGTCTATGGAAGGTTGCAGGAGCGACAAGGCCCTAACTAGATGGACCTATCTGAGTCAGATACTTGGAAGCGAAGCTATGCCTGCCATACAAACAAATATCTTAAGATTTGGACTACGTGGGGGGCAGCCAACCTCAAGGCCTAGTACTTTGATATCTAGAGCGCTGCTTGTAAAATAAGGGTCTTAACGGGAGATCCGCCCGGCATAACGAGCTCTCGCAATGGTGTCAAGTAATATAAAGATATAGGAGAGTAGCAGAGTTCGTGGTCCTCGCGCTATAGAATCTCTACGGTATCCCTACATAAGGTGAGTGCCAAGGAATGGAGATAAACAATTGGTGGTAGAGGTTTATAACATAAGAGTTGAAGGAATAAAAGCTTTCTAGTAAGATCTTGTGTAGCTAAGGTCTTAGGAGTTAATTATCAGGTATAGTACAGACAGAATGCACTGATTAGAGGGTCTCAAAAGTCGTGTAATTGAAGGCTTGATAAAGGTTTAAATATAGTTGTTTTCTCTAAAGCCCCTAAGGCATTGAATTAAGATACAAGGTAACCAGGGTCGAGACAGAACGGAGCAACATGGGATACAAAGAATCGTAGCGATTAAGTTAAATTATGAAGGAAGAAAGAAGGTATGGGGTTGAGTGTGTTGATCGAAGCCCCTTTTCATTTTCTACCATCGTCAAGCCATAAGCCAACGTCGGGGTGTCGATGCCAGTTTGAACAGTCGGGTTGTCGGCGGGAACAAATCGGTATTAAACCCATGTCTGCGGCTGGATCTGGCCAACCCAGTCGTCGATCCTCGCACGCTGCCAGCCCTCATCACATTCACTGCGTCTTTTGTGGGAATCGTCGTCTTGCTCCATCCCATCATACATGAGGTACGCCGAGCCTTCGTAGTCACTATCATCACTGTCGTCAAGGACCTTGTCTGGAACGTATGCAGCCCCCTTCAGCGCTGTCAGGCGTTGAAGAACCCATTGCAACTCTAGTAAATCCCAGTCCGGCAACGGTAATTCCTCAGGGTCCTCCGTTGTTAACTCAATGACCTCACCCGACCTGATGATGTGCTCATCCCGGGAGCTGCAGATGGCGATATCTTTCGGTCGGAAATCATGGGCGAGGGCAGGGATATTCATGAGGTCGACCATCTCAGCAGAGCTCTCAGTTTGGCGTTTATCGAGCCAGTAGAACCCGAGTTTCAAAGACTTCCCGTCCGATGAGGCTTCAATAGGCTGAAGACCAAACAACCCTGCTGAGTGGTACCGGTGGATGGAAGGAGAAAAAGACATCTCATTTTCAATAAACTCAGTGCCGTTGTTTAAGCGGCTTTCCCACTTCTCGATGCGCTGGGCCCAGAATTCTTTGAGCAAGCCAAAAAAGCTCGCTCGCTCGTCCCCTTTATTGAGAGAAACAGGGAAGATATGCGCGGCGTCGATTGGCCCAGCGCTCTTAGTGACGATACACTTGTAGTCGTCTCGCTCCTTACACTATAGCCCGTTGTCAGGAGATACTATAACTTTGAGAATAAGAAGTAAAAATGCAGACTCACCTTCATGCTGATTATTTTTGATCTACTATTTCCACTCGAACCAGAGGATGCACTCAGAGATGTACTCCGTTTTCGTTTGGGGGGTTGGAGCGAGGTCTCAGTCTCCTTTAGTTCTCCCACTGTGCTTGGCAGAGCTTGTCGAAGTGGTGATGGTTCAGGACGACTGCGTCGTAGCGAGAGTGATCGGCCAGAAGGGGTGGTGGAACTTGGACGGGGTTTCTGGCACCCTGCCAGCAGTAAAATTGATATGTCAGTCCCGAAAACGACTCGAAAGGGCATCTCAAACTAACATTTGGCGACGATTTCGTCCTCCTGCTTTGAGATAGAGAGTCCTCGTTGGATCAAGCCTTTTCCTACGCTAGACGCACTGTCTAATGACTTGCACATTTCTTCTATGTACTGGAGATCGCAGAGCAGAAGAGTGGCCTGAACCCCCCGAGACACCTTTTGATCGGCTCCCAGGATCCCCTTCAGCCGCCTTAGTAGAGCCAGACGGACAGGATCGCAGAGCTCCACCCCTGGCCCAATCTTGGCGTCGTCGATCTTGTGCTGCATGATTACAAGCGCGGGACAGGTGGGCGTTTAGCAAGGGTTGAAGGACCTGATGAGTAAACGCGAAAAGGCGTGTCGATTCAAACAACTTGCAGTAAGCGGGAGCTGAAGCTGAAGAGCTAGGCAGAGCAAGAAAATAAGAAGCAGAAAAGAAGGGAAAGAGAGGAGAGAAACCTGGCAGAGTTATTGTAAAGGGGAGGAAAGGAAGTGAGGTGACGAAGGCATTACCTAGTGGTTGGTTATAAATATAAGCGCGCCTAGCCTAGTGTCAAAATATGTGTATTAGTCAGCCTCGCTACGCCTACATTTGGCCGCGCACAGATATCTCAATCAGATCATCATCCTCCTTCTGACAATAACATACAGGACAGACTTAGTTATAACCGCGGGCCGACACCGGCCGACTGCGGTACACGATGGCCACTGCAGATACTAACGATCTGAAGATGTAAGACAAGAAGAAAAGAGTATGCCCGGGATGAAATATGAAACTTCGATGATAATTAACTATTGGGGCTGTTTTATCACGCCCCTCGACCCAACGTTTACTAGCAGCGGGCCATGAAGATCTGTCGTATCTAACTAGTCAGTCAGTCCTTCAAAGCAAGTTCTACCAACTCTTCCAGGTCCGCGTGGTTGAGGACAATATCACGCTCCCCGTTACCAGCTGCTGGGCGCAAAAAAAGATCCTGGAAACGGATTACGATTGTACCACTGGCAGAATAGCCCCTGGCGCTCTTTGTTACAGTGGCTTCCTGTGTTTCAACAGGACGAGGACGAGTAGCGCCATCACGGAACTGCCACACCTCAAGGTGGACGCGGTGCTTGCGGAATATTTTCAATGTGACCACCGCTCGTACTTCCCCCTGGGACTCTGTCAACCACCAGCTCGCGTCACTCCTTAGTTTCGTTGCCGACTCCGAATACCCAACCTCGAGAACTAGGCTGGGCCATTTGGCTGACCGGGTGGCTGGGAGTGTTCGTGGCCGGTATGATGCATCAGGGGCTTTTTTGCGTGTAGTTCCTTGCACTTCTGCTGATCCACAGGCTCTTAATTTGAAAAACAGCCTCGCTCTCATTTCATTTAGTTTACCTTCAATAAGGGTGTCAAAGTACCTGGTAGCACTTTCATGATCGCGAGAAGGCATAATGATGATAAGACAATGACTTGCAAGATCTTTGATGCGTCCAAGATGTCTTTGGTTGGAGAAGCTGTGAATTGTATCTGGAGCCACATTCTTGAACACAGTATATCGGTCCGAATCATGCTGTTGTCCTTCACTATCAGTATAAGTGAATAACGGAGTCTGTTGAAGAAGCTCTTCAAGGTCCTCTGCCTTGAGACCTTCGGCATCATATTCATTGCTCCCAGGAGGCAGGGCTTCAACCATCTGTCTAACCTCATCATTGTGGCCTTGACCTTGACCGAACAAAGCGTTTGGCAAATCCATTTGTGTAGTTATGTATCCCTTGCTCTTTTCAATGTGTGATGCAAAAAGTTAAGAGTCAATGAATAGCCGTATGTTTGAAAAGGAGGTCTATATCAATGACATCATCATCGCATTGTACCTACTTAATAATCCTCTAGCGTAACTAGTTATGCTTTGTCCACAAAAACTATTCCGTACCAAGGTTGATGGATTATGGTTTCTCCACAAGTAGTTAGATATGTATGAGCGCCCCTGAAATCGTGGATCTCGAGAGGCGCTCGCCGAGCTTTTCTTTTGCGTGCCTGGACCCAAATTCAAGTGTCAAGGTCCACATGAAAAAGACTGAATTATCATGCGGGCAGTTGGGCGCAACGGCTGGCTCCCGGCTAGTCGGGGTAGTTAGTTATATACGGAGCAACTGCTCGACTTTTGCCCCGTCTTCATTTGCAGCAAATCAGCACGGCCGTTAACTAGTCAAATGACTACCTAACCTGCCGTATTCCACGCGGCTGGTCTCCAACACGGACGCGGGCAGAGATTTAATTGTATAACTTAGGTGGTTAGTTATAGGGGGGTTCTGTGAATACACTGCGTCAAAACTCGTCCTTCTCTCCTTTTAGGACTCCGTCTTCCCCATGCCACGACAGAAATTAGCAGGCTCGGCCTTGACGCCCCCACGGCTCGATTCACCACCGATCCAGCCTCCTGATCGTCTTTTGAAATTTGAGGAGACTCCCAGCTGGTTCGAGGGGAACCAGTTCATTCTAACGGGCTATCGCCATGAGTCTCGGTCGGCTGTTCGCTGTGTGCACAGCTGGACTTATCTCCATAACGAGACCTGCAACATCTACTCCCACTTGTTGCCAGCGGGCTTATACGCTGCTCTGCACTGGTATCTCCTCACCTTCTACCTTCCATCCAGATATAATCCGCTGAGTAAAGGTGACGAGCTCATCCTCTCCCTTTTCCTTTCAACTGTCGTCTTATGTCTGGGAGCTTCGGCACTATACCATACCTTCTTGAACCACTCCGCGCCAGTAGCTAGACGGTGGCTACTGTGTGACTATATGGGAATCATCACTCTCATTCAGGGCTGCTTTATCAGTGGAATTTATTTCGGGTTTTACTGCGAACCGTACCTTCAGCGGTTATACTGGACCATGGTGTGTTGATACATAAAGTAAGCATGTATGCCCGGTTACATAAATCAGCTAACACGGGAGAATGGCAGATCGTTGTCCTTGGCTCGTTGACGGCAACTATACTGTTGTCATCCCAGTTTCAAGACCCCAAATGGCGAGGGTTTCGCGTTGCGGTCTTTGTTTGCACTGGCCTCTCTGCCTTTGCGCCCATTACGCATGCTCTACTTCTCTACGGGCCACAGCGTAGTATGAATGTTGGCTTACCATATTACCTTGCCGAAGGAGCTATTATTGTTCTAGCAGCTTTCATTTACGAGGTGAGATGTTTCTCGTGCTGGTCAAGCTCATCTATTCTATGCACATGGGATGAGATTAGTTTCGGCCTCCCATGGTTTAGTTTGTTCTTAGCTGACGAGCCATCAAACAGAGACAAATTCCTGAACGGTGGTTTCCCGGAAAATTTGATATCTGGGGACATTCTCACACCATCTTCCACGCTATGGTTGCCGTGGGGATGTGTGTACATTTTGTTGGCCTTCTCGAGGCACTTGAATATACTTACTACAATAGCCAATGTGCTGCTACATAGACACAAGAAGAGGGAAGGAGAATTAGACGTGACCTGCTTATATACTAGATATACCCATAGAACTATGAATATATATAAGTAATCGTTTTTGTACCTGTTCTAATTAACAAATTATCTATGCTGTATGTGCAATCTATAATGTACCACCCACTCTACTTCTCTTGGTATCCTAACACGCTGCTCTCAAGGTCGGATTTTGGCCTGCTACCCCCAAGAACCGAGCTCGATTTTCGCCTGAAGTATACCCTCTTCGCCAACTTCCATGTTTCTGCCCCAGCAAAAAACAATACCGTGCCTACCAGGACGATTCCCCATTCCCACGTTATGCCTGTATGGCGAAAAACATTCTTATTTATGACGGGAATGTACAGAAGCGGGACAACAATGACAAATCCAGAGATATTTGCCCAGAATAAGAACGGATTCTGCCAGATATCGCGACACCACTGAGGAACGATACCGGATGATGAAGAGGACGGTCGCATGTTGAAGAATGAGCGGCGCATATCGACCATCTCCCAGGCTAGGAATAGAACGAACCATGTCAGGCATGCGAAGGTAGTGGCCCGTGCCCGGAATACCAATTCGCACCCATCATAGACCTTGTTGCAGTTCGTTCCAAGGTTACCGTCTCCAAAGCCATATATTACCAATGTGAAAGCTCCTAGGCACAATGCAGCAACCCAAGTGCCGTAGACAACCATGTCCAACATGATCTCCCAAGTAAAGATTCCGCGCTTCATCACAAAAATTAGCAACAAGACTTGAAAATAACGGTCTGAAGGGGTAAACAGCCCTCTAGCAGACAGAAAAAATGGGATCGACTACTTACTGTGTGTGGAGGCCTCTGCATGATATCCATTGTTGCCTGCTCAAAACCGAGCCCCATATCCGGAAGTCCTGAAGTAATCATAACAAGCCAAATGATCTCAACCGGGCTTAGTGGGAAAACGGATAAATTGTCCGTGTCCTTAAATACAAGGCCAAGAAGCAGAACAATAGCCTGTGCGAAGTTTTGGGAGAGAACATGTAATATGAACTTCTGTATATTATCAAATATACGCCGGCCTTCCTCGATGGCATTAAGAATTGAAGCAAAGTTATCATCCGTTAAAATGATATCTGATGCATCCTTAGCAACATCGGACCCAGCTAGACCCATGGCAATACCAACATCGGCGTTCTTGAGGGATGGCGAGTCATTAACACCATCACCAGTCTAATATAGTCAGTTTCTATATGTCCAAGGGGTAAGTGTTAGGGGGGGTTTCCCTTACCATGGCGGCAAATTTTTTGCGTCTATGCAGTGCATTGATCATCCGAACCTTGGTGTTGGGCGCACATCGCGCTACTACCAGAGGAAGCTCAGGGAGGTTATCAATTTCGTTATCAGATAGTTTATCAAACTGCTGAGCTGTCATCACCATGGAATCAAGGGTATCTTTGCTTAGCATGTTGGTATGAGACGGGAGGATTCCTACTTCTGTGGCGATAGCCCTCGCTGTACTAGGATGATCTCCAGTTAACATGTGTACGGAGATACCTGCTTCGTGGCAGCGACGCACTGAAGGTGCAGATTCTGGACGAGGAGGATCATAAAGCCCAATTAGACCACGAAAAATCAAATTATGCTCGACCTCTTTGCGATCCAGGTCTATGTTTTGGCAGTCCATGACTGGAAGTGGTTTGCTAGCGAGAGCAAGAACACGTAGACCTTGTGCAGCGAAGGCTTCCATGTTGGCCAAAATGCCTTCCCTAACTTCAGGGGTGACTGTCTCTAACTGCGAGCCATCGGTGCCTTCTATGTATGAACATGATGACAACACTCGTTCCACAGCTCCTTTGGTAAAGACAAACATGTCTCCCGTCGGTGATTCAAAGACAGCGGACATTTTCTTAACATCAGAGTCAAATGGGAACTCGGCAACCTGAGTCCATGTCCGCTGGTCTCCCGAAGTCAGTTGAGTACGGTTCCAGTTGAATCGTGTAGCAAAGACCTGAATGGCGATTTCTGTTGGGTCGCCATACGTTTCCCAATCTCCAGTTGCAGTCTCACGGACAACTGCCAGATTGGCCAGAGCTGCAACTTTCAGGAACTCGTCAAGAGGTCCATCGCTCTCCGTTTTGGTATATTCATCGTCAAAAGTGTCATTTTTCTCTGTGAAATCTATCTCATGCGGCTGTTTAGGTTCGAAGTACAGTTTTCCGGCCTTTGGGTTGAATGGTTGACTTGATTGGCCGACTGCATATGTACCTCGTGCAGGTACCCATGCCTTATGCGCCACCATTTTTCCCTGGGTCAGAGTACCGGTTTTGTCGGAACAAATGTCTTCCAAACATTAGCTTCTAGGATAATACAAAAAAACAAGGGCTACTTACCTGTAACTGATCCAAGAGCTTCTAATGAGTTCAAGTTGCGTACAATAACATGTCTTTTCACCATCCGTTTCGTTCCAACTGTCATGGTGATGGTCAAAACTACTACCAAAGAAGATGGTATCATGCTTAGGCCTGTGGCCACCGCATAAACAATAACCTCTTGGTGATTGCTGAATTTATTCGCAGCAAGCACGATAATGGCACAGATGACAGCAGTTCCGAGTAAGAGGAGCGCAAGCTTGGAAAGCTTTCTTTGCAATGGCGTACCAACATTTAAGCCCAGAATCTCACCAATAGCATCATACACCGTTAGAGCGCCGGCTTCAACATAGCGATAAAAACTGGCAGATCCGTCTGGGTTACGCTTTACGTGTCTATGCCGCGTGCCCTTCGCTCGAAGTGCAGTTGCAATAGCTCCAATTTCTGTATAAATACCAGTTGAAAAGACGATGCCTCTGGCTCGACCTTTTGTAACAATAGACGAGCTGAAGCAGATATTTAGGCGATCACCAGGTCCAGTCTCATCACTGAAAACCGAATTGGCGTCTTTCCGCACGGGTACAGATTCTCCAGTGAGCAAGGCCTCATCGGTTTCGAAATTGACTGCCTCTATAAGTCTTCGCAACATTAGCAAGGAGTATACCTACGCCACAACTAGCATATTACTTACCTCACATCTGCTGGGACTGTGTCACCAGTCTTCATCTCTACTATGTCACCGGGTACAATATCTGCAGTCGCAATAGTAATTTGACTCCCGTCTCGTACTACACATGCAGTCGGGGAACTCAATGATCGAAGCGAGCTCATGGTCTTTTCGGCTTGAAATTCTTGGACAAAGCCTATACCGATATTGATGAAAATGACTGCTGCTAGCACACCTCCTTCAATCCAAGCGTTGATACCAAAGCTCACTGCCATAGCCATTGTCAAAATCTACTCGCCGAGTTAGTCGAAGTTATCTAGTGGATACCTATAGAGAGAGGGTTGGAGCTTACCAATGTCATAGCATTTGCAATCTGCCGGAGTAACATTTTGGCAGGTTGGACAGAGTCGGTGTTTCCAAGGTCATTTCCTCCATATTGTTCTAAGCGTCTCTGGGCCTCTGAGTTGTTCAAACCGTTCTCCGGATCGGATCCTATCTCCTTGATGACAGCTTCATATTGAAGACCATGGGCTGGCCGTGATAGCGTGCATTGAGACACGCCTTGCCCATGATTCAAAGACTGAGCTTTCCCCATGGCTGCTGCTGACATATAACGAACAAAGAAAGTGCACAGGTGCAATCCTCCATCTGCAGGGAGTACCCGAACGATTGGCTTGCCTGCTTTGCTTAAATATCATACGCAAACTCGTTCAAACTTGACGTCCTGAAAATACGGTAACCTTCAACCATGCATAGAGTGCTGCCAAGCTGCCTGTTCAGGAAATAATGCCAAGCATTACGCTGAATAAAAGCTTGGCATGACCACTTGTCTTAAGCTGTGGTGATATAAGAGCAACGACGTCAACGACGGGAAGGAAGCAGACGAAGGCAATAAGATATCAGACAACGATCTAGAGTATCTTGGTATCGTCTTTTCGGTCGCCGCGCGCTCATGCTTGATCGGTCTAGCAAAGGAAGGGCGGCAGCACGATGCTTTTATACAAGACATGTACTCCTATAGCACCATCTGCTTACGGCTTGCTCGGGAAGTAGCCCAGGGGAGTATTTCCCATAAGTCATTGAGGCGAGCCACGATCCAGGCCCGTTGTGCTGGATCTCGACTTTCGGCGCCGGCTATGAAAGTGGGCCAAGAAGTGCCCTTAAGTAGCAAGTTTCCGGGAAGGATGAAGGAAAGGTGGCCAATGATATCCTCCACCATGGCCTTTCTGCTGCATTCGTCCATCAGGTTTGCAGATGGGACGGCCTGGTGGATGTAGAGACAGACTGCCGACTTATGAGCCGAGGCTACATGGGCACGGCTTTCAAAATCGTTATGGGAGGATATGCCTTGTACAGAAGCTGCCCAGGTGTTGGTATTAAAGGTGCTAGCTCGCTCCATCAAGTACCGTGCTTGCTCTTCTTCATAACCGGTAATCTTCTCTACATTGGATAAATGGGATGCCGAGAGCATTACGTGTAAGAGAAATGCAGGGCATGACATGTAACTGTTCGCTTCTGCACGCTCAAGCAACGGTAACACATCCGTAAAGGGGTAGCAGCTTGTGGTTGACCCCATGTTCGGTTTGCGAGCGGAAAAGGTCGAACCAAGGATATAGTAGCTAGTGTTGTCAACAATTTAAGCTTTCAGTTTCTTTTTCTTATATTTCCGTAATAGGATAAAAGTGAGCATCTCCGGGGAAGGAGAGTGACAGATGTTGACTTACATGAGACAGTCGGAGACGACATGATCGCGCAACGCACTCATAGCAGAGGATAGGTCAGTGCGTTTGGGTAGGCCGAAATAGTCGATGAGCTTCTGAGCACCTTCGACATGTACTTTCCAGTCATCCTTTCCAGAACTCACAAGCTCATAGTTGATAGAGAGCAGGATGGCCGTTAGCACGACCTCTGGATCAACGGCATCTATGTTATCCATGGACTGATTGAGAAGCTGGAGAGTTTTCTGCTTTGCCACCAGTGCATCACGATGAGGATATTGGCCAGGCACTCCATTGAACCGACTAGGACCCTTTGATAGCATATTTGAGATATGAATTGCAGAATTGGCAACGATGACATGCAGTAGGAGTTCATGGTCCCTTATCAGCGGAACAATGTCACGATAAGGATTGTGTCTGGGAACATCATATGTTACAAGATCACGGCACATCTGGTCCGTAACTAGAACTAGTAGTCAGCGGTTTTTGTTGAAGATTCAATTGTTTTTGTACACGAATAATGAAAAAAAGGCAAGGCTATTGATTACAGTGAGAGATGTAGAATCGAGATGCTTGATCCAGATCTTGGAAGAGCGGGTCCACCAGAGACGGATTAATTGACACGGAGGTATCCCCTTCATCACCAGCCTTCTCCGCTTCAGCACCAGTTTCAGCCTCAGCCTCAGCCTCACCATCGGGCATATTGCTGGGGACAAAACGGTACTTCCGGGGCAAGCAAAGTTCCTGGCTTCCAGATGCCGCTGTTGGAGTCGTCGCTTGCTCGGGGACATGGAAGGACTTGCCCATCATCTTTCCACGGCTTGCCACGCCTCTGTTCCAGACGAGCAGCTTGCCATAACCAAGACACTTCTCGCCCTTCTTAATGCACTTTTGACAAGAGGGCAATGACCGGTCACACCTGAGTCTTCGACGTTTGCAGTTGTGGCATGGCTTTGCCACTACCGCGCTCGTACCCGCGTTGTCTACGACAGTAGAATTTGCCGGGCCAGTCGTGGACATGGTTAACTATCCTCAGTCGGACGAACTCTTCTCCTGAATCCAAGGGGCATAATGTCGCCTGTGGGACGCTGAACCGCAAGAAGTCGACAATGAAGAGAAGTCATCGTCAATTCTTGATAGCCGACGTCGCTCTGAATTCTTGGCGCTGGGTGGTTGTTGTCTGACTAAGCAGGATTCTCTTCAACACTCGGAACGAACACACTCAAAAACGAAGATAATAACACATCAGCTAACTACCTAGTAGACCGCTGCGGGCTCTGAGATATCTTTATCTTCGGCGAAAAATGATATTCTTCTGGCTAATGCTTAGCGCGTTACTCGGAGTCACTTCTGCAGAGACTACCCAGGGTCAAGGGGCCGTCACGGCCAAAATAGAACAGTAGGAAGAAGCCCCTGTTGGTTTTTCTGTTTACTGGTCGCACTGCCACCCGCAGCGGCATGGGCCGAAAGGTAAAAATAGGACAACTAGATGCACGCCATAGACGCAGGATACGATGTCACTGGTCGCCGGCCTATGATACCCTGGTTGATGCAATGTGAATAATGCAGCAAGGTGGATGTACGTTACTCAGTTCCCCTCATTCTGTTTATACCCGTGCATTAGTTCGGTAGGAGAGGGGTTACTCCGGACCCTTGCGGATGCGATGCATGGAGGCGTATACCGGCTAGCTTGAGGAGCTGTCATGGGTCGATGGTTATTGATAGAAGCTCGAGGGGGCTTATCGCCCTGAGCTTGGAGATGCGAGTGTATAGATAAAGAGGTACTGCTTCCTCGTTGGAAGGGTAAGCAATTGGCATCAACTCTAAGAATTAATCAACATACCACATCAACACTCTCGATCGTCCTCGGTACTCTTGTCTAGTACTTCTACTTCTCCATCACGATGCTCTCATCACAAACAACGGTGCTGCTCATAATAGTAGCTGAGGTGTTGAGCTTTGTCGTTCTCCTAGGCCTACTGGTCATTCTATATCGCATCCTCATTACACGGTATAAAGAGAAGAAAGGATCTACTCCACGAGATATTGGTACGTTAATAGTATACATCACTAATAAACATTTTATGTATATATATACTAACATCTCCCAGAAGCATCTCCCGCTCCAATTACAGCTACCACTACACCATCACCAGCACTGTCACTACTAGACAAGGAACTCCTCTATTTCCACCCAGCACTACGGATTAACACAAATGTCAACAACAACAACAATAATTCACCACCAGTGCTACAATCGACAATCACCAAGCCCAGTGCTACTGCAAACCCTACCAACAAGCCATCATACAATCCACCAGAACCATTTCAGTCTGCTAGCGCGCAACTACAATATAAATATCTTCTTTCGCGCCTGCACACCCGCCCTCAGAGGACACAGGCTCTTCGATCAGAGTCTGTTCCTCGCCATTACTCGTCTCAGGTTCCTAGACCTCTTAGACCGATCCAGACTACTCTGCTGCCACCTAAGAAGCCTATGCCCGTTATCCAAGAGTCTGTGGCTAGGGGAAGTGTGAATGTGGTCTCCCCTTGTTCGGATGCCGTTCGATCTCCTGCTTCGGCCGATAGGATGAGTTGAATGTTGTTTTTTCTACTTTTCCTATTTACTTTGAGTTATTCGCATGGTGCATATACACGGCGTCGGCAGGTTTGGTTGTCGGGGATATTACGGAGTTAAAAAGGATACTTTGGGGTGGCAAAGCTTGATTTTCCAGCATAGCATGGCAGTATACACAGGACAGCATTAGAGCAACATGAACGACGATAATCAGATGCATATATTCAATTTGTCTTTTTATTCCTGTTATAGTAATTGATAATGAACAGATGATGATAATCGAAAACTCCTCGCTGTAATGTGTGTGTGTGTTTGTTTTTTTCGTTTCAGCTCATTTATTTACATGCTCATCTAGCTAGAGCCAGCAGCTTCGAATCGCTTGTTAACTCCCATGACCTTCTCGACCTCATTCTTGCTGCCGAGGAAGATTCCGCTTCTATCGTGGATATGCTCTGGGACTACATCCAGCAATCTCTCCATCTTGGAGTTGATAGCCAGACCGCCAGCGTTCTCAAAGATGAGAGCCATGGGGGCACACTCATACAGGATACGGAGCTTGCCCTTGGGGCTCTTAGAGTCAGCTGGATAAGCAAAGATACCTCCATACAACAGAGTTCGGTAAGCATCAGCAACCATGCTACCGATGTATCGGGAGCTGTAAGGCTTCTTGCCGGTCTCAGGGTACTTGAGCTCCTCGAAGTACTTCTTGACCCAGTCAGGCCAGTACATCGAGTTTCCTTCGTTGACGGAATAGATGGAGCGGCTGGGTGGGATGCGCATGTTGGGGTGGGTAAGGATGAATTCGCCAAGAGCGTTGTCGAGAGTGAAGCCGTTGACCGTTCCTGTCTTCACGGTCATGACGAGCTGGGCGGAGGCACCGTACATGGTGAAGCCAGAGGCAACTTGCTGGGTGCCTGGCAGGAGGATGTCCTGGGCAGTGACTGTCTTGCCAGCTCCAAGGACCTCATCGGGGAGCTGGAAGATACCGAAGATGGTGCCGACAGAGACACCAGCGTCAAGGTTGGAGGAGCCGTCAATGGGGTCACAGACGACAGCGTAGCGAGCGTTGGGGCTCTCGTCGAAGATGATGGCCTGGTCTTCCTCCTCAGAGACGAGGAGACGGCACTTGCCAGATCCCCGCATGGCAGCAACAAAGACATCGTTGCCAATCACGTCGAGCTTCTTCTGGTCATCTCCGGTGGTGTTGGATGAGCCAGCCAAACCGGTGAGGTTGATCAGGGTGGCACGACGGATGTAGTATGCGATGGACTTGAAGGAGAATTGGAGCGCATGGCAAAGGAGACTGCCAAAAATAGTCAGTACACGCAATCCATTCAACGGCATTACACTGCAATTGGGGTAGATAGGAGCTCGTACGTGAAGTCACCGGTAGCCTCTGGGTGTTTCGTCTGCTCTTCAGTCAGGAACCGGGTAAGAGTGATGATATCAGTGTTGATGTTCTCATGGCCAACAGCGCCGGTGCCGTTGCCGTTGCCGTTGGTAGCGTCAGCCATTCTGGATACCTGCGGTGTATATATTGAGAAGAAGATGACAATAAGACAGGAGAAGGGCAATTCAGCTTTGGGACAAGACGGCAGGAGGCAACTTGATCGGGTTCAGCAGGGGAGAGACGAAGGAGAAAGAAAAAGAAGAGTTGTATCTGCGCCTTGTCTTCAACTCCCCGTCCTCTTTCTACCACCAAACGTCACGAACTAGTCGGAGAGGTCACTGGACCCGCGGGAGTTGCCCGTGAACAGCCGCCGAGGGAAAAGTCACCAGTACTTGTTTACGCATACAAGTCCTACGGGCAACACAAGTCACTGCGACCTTCGCGCTGCCCCTCGAACTGCCTGGCTGCCCCTCCTCCCGGCTTATTTTCGCGCGGGTTTTCTGCGTGTCAACGTGACCTTGTTCCCCTTTAAATTCGCATGGCCGGAACCTAATTGCTGGCTCAGGGGGACGGCCGCCAAGGTGATTTTGCTGTCTAATTTCATGATGGAGGCGACAATAGTAAAAATAACCACCGCGCCGACACCAGTAATAAGACAACAGCGAGTCCGTACCTGAAGGTCAGCGAAGAAAAGAAACGAGAGAAAGTCACTGCAGAGTCGATCATTTGCTGACAGATTACTAAGCACAGGTTTATCCGGTCGGAGTAATTTCTGCAGCAGTCGGAACATTTATCTGTTTACGGTAAAGGGCCTTGGCGCCGCTAACTAGAAAAAGCTTCAACTTTTTACTTGCTTTGAATTTTCTCTCTTTCTTTTTCACTGTGCGATATGAATATCAACATCAACATCAACAAAAGCAGCAGCAATAGCTGCAGCAGAGCTGGTTCAAGCTTTACAACATAAGATGCCTTGTTTACTAACTACTGTAGCTTTGGTTACCTACTATGGCTGCGTCTCTTGGTAAGTTCTTCTTGAACAATGGCTTCGGTTTGACTTTTTTGTGCTGTGTCCTGTCTTGGGTGATGATTTGTACAACCGCTAAACTAGAGTCTTTGATCTTCTTCAGAAGAGATGAAACTCCATAATTGCACACGTCAGTCTGAAGTGTACTTGACTACTTGCTTGCTGTCGAGCTGAAGACCTCGCGTTTGTTGTTTCTTTCATTGGGAGATACTAATGCTTTTTCGTCTTCGTTCAGATATAGCCACTATAACATGCTACTATGTAGCAAGCTGAGAAATGAATTGGTAAGCTTCCCACCTTGAACTCCCCTGCCTGCCTTACATGATGATTATTTTTTTTATAATATACGCTGGAAATACCGACTGAGACCTTCGGGTTGTTGACGTTACTATAAATGGCTGTTTCTGATTCGGCATTTCTCCTTTCTTGACTGTTGAAACTATGTTATTGAGCGTCAAGCTAACATTTAAAAGAACGCGATAGGTCCACTCTAACATACACTACCCAGGTATTATGACATCCGTGTAAGACGTCACTGTCTTCTTCTCGCCTTTTTCTTTCAAAGACAGACACAGAAGGATGAAACCGCACTGGGCTCTGACGGCAAAGCCGGCCATGACAGACATGCGTTTTTGCGGCAGGCCTAGAAAACCTCGCCCACTGACCTGTGGCTTTACTTGACTAATGGTGTCTTCCATGGCTTGGTTTTCTCCCTTGCTAACGGAATCAATAGCAGGAGTATGCTATTATGTAGCTAGTTGATGTAGTCTTGATCAAATGGTTAGTACACCACCTCCACTGCTCTCGCTCAACCTTCCATTCTCACAATGTGATGACATCTTGATGACGAGTCTTATTCGAATTCTCGATGCAGACACAAACATTTAATAACCATTCATGCCAAACTGAACTTGTGCTCTTCAGTATCATACATCACACGCATAATGCACATCATGGCTCATCATGCTAACTTGGGCTGAAAATAGGTTGCCACTCTAAATATAAATTGTACGTTGATGCCTCGTGCCTCTCCGTCAAACCAAGCACTTCTTTCACATGATGAGACAATTACGACACAAAGACAAGCATATGTCCAAGCTAGCCTCGCTAGTGAAGACGAGAATGTCAACTTTCCTGACTATCCGTTCTCGAAATAATACGAGTTGGAAACGCATGGTGACGGCGGCTAACATGTGTCACAGACATGTAGTTGCCCCGAGATTTGATGGTTTCAGGCTGAGATATGCATAATGGTATGTCTTAATTCGCATCACAAAAAATTATTCCCGCCTTGTCCTCCATCCCCATCCTTATTATATGATGATTTATTCTTTTATCACGACGGTCAACATAGTCTATACATTGATGACCACAGCCTGTGACAGGGCATTGATCTGACACTGCTCCTCATACTCACTTCGTTACTCATGACATTCTCGTCCGAGGAATTTGGGCTAATTTTGATGCGGCATAGGTTTCTATTATGGTCTCTCATGTCCTACATTCAGCAATACCGTGCAACACCATCCTGGCTAGGGGCCAACATCTGTTCTTGGACTTACACACATGTGTCCACAATCTCAATATGGTCGTTGGAATATGAATGATAGCTCAGGATAAGAATCGCTAGCTTAATGTACAATTATTCTAGTCCAGTAGATATATATATTTGATAGCAATAGCAGTATATGAACATGAACCAATTATTCTTCACATTCGAATGTCCTCGTTCCCTCTTCAGCTTCGAAGTTTTTCTTGCCTTCCATGCCAGCTTGATGCAACGAGGACCACTTGGGCACATGGAGAATCACATGACTGCCGAAACGGGAAGTCAAACCTTCTTCGATACAACATTTTCTCTCCATCTTCAACTTCAAACCTCAAACACTTCAACAAACTCCAGGTTTGACATCCTCTCCTATCTCTAAATATACCGCGATAGGCTGACCTCGAACATAGCAAGCAATAAGATGATTCACGAGTTTCATCGGCCTTCTTCAAGGCGTCCCACGATGTGCTACGCTGGGCCAAACAGACGTCAGATGTATCAGTAATACGCCAAACTCTTAGCTGTCCATCATGTTCAAGTTAAGTCACTCGGTGACCGGGTTCATCCCAGCCAAGAGGAACGGCTGCAGCCAGTGGGAACATCACTTTGGAAATTTTCCATTTATCCAGCGAATAAATGAGAGGGTTAACCGCCCGCCTTGCAGAAGAGGCAAGGTCCTCATGCACGCACACTCACGCCAATACATGCTAAGTTTGCTAGCAGCATTACGCAGGTTGTATCGAGCATAACCAGGCGCTGCAGTCCTAGACGACATGGGATCTTCATGTATACAGAGCACCGAGTATACTCCGAACATGGGGGAAGGATGTTTGCGTGAGTTGCGCAGGAAGAATCCTTCCCGTCGGATATCCAGGGCATCAATCATATTCCACGAGGACAACGGAACTGTTGGTGGCTCGAAAGACTATGGGAAAAGTCCCTCATATTTTCGGGAAAGCAAAGAGAATAAGGAGTAAATTACTCTCTTTTTACTTGCTTTTTCCCAACTCTGCATCCCTTTCAACGTGATAATTAACGTTCCTAGCGTTAATTAGGTTTCTATTAATATCACTAGTTGCATCCTGCTGTGTACAAAGCACCGCGCTGCTCGACAGGGGCCGGGGGCATGTACCAAGACAAGACTATCAGGGCATTTAAAAATAACTCGCAAAGCCCAGCCAGCAGCCGTCTGGCCAAGTTAATTCGCTCGTCCTGAACGACTTGTTCTCCAACCACCGAACTTCGTCCTGGCCCCCAAATCGCGAAGAAAGTAGCTCCCGCTTCCCTGGCCGCCTCAGACCTAGACGGCCTTTAAGCCAGCCAATGCATTCATTTCCGGCTGACGGTCCGCGCGCTGGTGGCATCCACGTCGCCTTTGTTGGTGTGATTTGTCTCTTTTAGGCTGCTGAGACCAGAAACGGCTGCCGTACAGCGAGGGCAACGCACGACATACCCTGGTGCTTGCTGGCCCACCGATGTGCTGCAACCGCATCTTTGACCTGGTCTGATATCGAGCATTTGGTATAAGATGAACAGGTGTGGCAAATTCTCCATTTAATGATACATACAATGTCTTTTTTTCCCATCTACTCTTCTTCCCTCTCACCCCCTCCTTCTCTGTTCGATTGTGGCATTGCAGACTGGGGGGTTGTGCTTTTTCATCCTCCTGCGTATTCTAGACGCCGGGCTATTTGCTCCTCGCTAACTAAGAGCATCGTCGGCTGACCTTCGCGCTTGCAACTAGCCCGTTGGATAACAGGCCGCATCACTTGGAGACTTCGTCTTCTCAACATCACCATATACCGGCAGCACCTCATTCAGCACCCATCGCCGTGCCTATCCACCCCCTGCGCCGACGAGAGAATGTTGTCCAGCCTCCTGCCATTACTACGTCGTTGAGCGGGCTTCAATTTCCAGGTCCGCCTGGCCTACCTTCTGCCGGTGGCCTCTCCTTTACGCCAGTATCGATGACTTCGCCTTACTTATCTTCCGGAATGTTGAGCGGTGTGACGGCTACCACGTCGCCTATGTCTGCGTCCGCACGACCGAGGTCTTTCAATTCACGGTATAATCCACAGGAATGGGGTCCCATCTCTGGTGGTACATCGCCCGTTGCCGCAACGGGAATGGTACATCAGCCAGCGCCCTCATCAACTTCAGTGACAGGTATATTTTGTCTCGCGTATGGATGTATTGCAAGTATCGAACGTTAACCAGAGGGTATATGCATAGCTTCCCCGCCTCCGCCTCCGTACTCACCTCCTAGGACAACCTTCCGAGGACAGCGAGCTCAGTCTCCACAGGTTGGCTACCCGGTGGCCAGCAGCCCCAGTCCCATTCCTGCCCCTATTCAACAAAGTCCCGCTCCCACCCAGTCCCGTCAGAGAGAGTCTCCGGGGTATCATTATTCTCTTCCGCGTTCCGGTCCATCACCACCAGTAGGTAGCCATGAGATTGAACAGCCGCAGCATCCAGACCATAGGTCATCTTTCGTGCCTTCTCATTCAACTCACCCCCAACCCCCGGTAAATGATGGTTCGTCTCGTCTACAAAACCATTATGGAACAGGCGCTGGTCCTGGTCGTACCGAATTATCATCGTCCGCGTCTTCCCAGGCCGTTTTGCAATCCGTACCCCCAGCATCGAGAAGGGCCGTGTCTACTGGCGACTTGCCTCATGGCCGAACATCAAATAGGGTCAGTACACAGGCGGATAGCCAATTGTCTTCAAGAGGTGGTAGATGGGAGCCAGGAATGCCACTTCCACCCCCGCCTCCAGGTCCTCCTCCAGCAGGTGCTCCAAGAAGGACTTCCTTTTCATCGCAATCTGCGGTAGAGAGAAACACTGTACCACAGAATAGAGAAGAAAGACTACGGTCCGGCTCTGGTTCATCGTCAATAGAACCTAGTCTTCCTACCATTCCAGCAACACCGCTTGGATGGGTTCCTGACCAGACTAATGTTCCAAGAACTCCCCGGCGGACATCTGCGTCCCCTCACGACCAACACAGGTCGGTTCCCGCATCGCCAAGTTTGCTTAATGCTGTGCCAACCAGCCGTCACGATGTTTCAGGCCAACCTGCACCGTCTTCCATCAGAGTCCAAAGCCAGAAGGGGATCCGTGAGCGTCGTATTCAAAGCAGGAATAACAGAACTGAAGGCAGCTCTCAAGGGCAGGAGTCTAAGGATGAAAGTTACGACATGACATGGCCGACAGACCTCGTTCTTAGTTCCCCTGTATCCAGCGGACTTGTTCGTCGTCGTACTCTTACCAGAGCAACTCCGCGAAGTGCTCGTAGTAATCCAGGAGAGGAACCTCTTCACAGCGCCAGATCAGCCACTTCTCCCTTCAGCAATAAAATGAACACCATTACCTCTCCATATTCCGCCACTCCTAGGCTACAAACGTTCCCGCATGAGCCGCTGGCGGGCAGAGGTCAGACTCCTCCATTCTCTCCAGGCAGGGAACAAAAGTCGCCAGCCATGGCACCCGAGCCGCTCCATTTACCTACCAAGGCTCTGCCAACACCACCCCCAGCACAGCAGCAGGATGCGGGTATGCTTGGACTAGAACCACGTAGCGCCAGTTCAGACAGGCCACTTTCTCACCTGTTACATCTCCCCGTTGACGTCTCGCCCTTAGAGGCACAACCCCTGGTCCCAGTTAGAATTCCATCTCGGCGTCCTTCCCCGAAATGTGCTCCATACGCACCTATAGATGGAAAATTTATTCAAGATGCGGAACGTCGATATCATGAATACCTAAGAAAAGAATCGGAAGCAACCAATGCAACTGATGCGTTGCAATTCTTTTGCAGTTTTATCATTGCCGAGTCAGGCATCCGTCGCCATCAGTATGGCTCAGGGTGGAGTCACTTGACTTTTGATCCCAAGACTGTTGCCGACAAGTTATTCGACCTCGCAAGTAACCCGTTGAAGCCTGAAGCCAGGGCTAGAGATAGATCTACCGGTCCATCTGAACCCCCACAGACACCTGACAGGGCCACCCCCAAAAGACGCACTTCCGTGATTGAGTCTGGCTTAGGGAATGGTTATAAACCGGCATTGTCACCCATTGCGAGCATGAGTATGAGCAATGAGGAGAGCTCTCGCGGCCGGGCACCTAGTCGCTGGTGGGAATCTCAGACCGGCAGCGATAATGGTGATGTTGGCGGCAAAGTCTCGCGCACTAAACGGGAGACAAAATATATGGGCTTGCCGCGAGAAATGCGCGAGGCGATGCAAATGGATCATTTGACTCCGACTCAAGCTGCTTATGATCAACAAACCTCTGGAGACCACAATCCTTACGCCAATTATGGGCCGAATGAATACCCTCCGGAAAAAGTAGGCTGGAACGATCCTGATACTCCTCAGCCCCTAGGACCATCACGGACATTATCGGCCATCAACCGGGAAGCTCGCAAGTTGGATATCTCAAGATTGGTTACCTTGCCTCCCCCATACCCAAGGCATTATCCGGGGGTAAATAATAACCACCCAGACATGGCATTTTATCGAACGACTGTCCGGACTATCAGTGACTTGTCAGAGTTGCACGCAACTAAGGCGAGCTATGAAAAGAAGATAAAGGCCCTTCGTGAGAAGTACCAGAAGGAGGCCCAGGAAGAACTCCGTGGATTTAGAGCGCGAATGAACCATGGAATCGAAAGTGGCAGCATATCTTATGCGGATGCAGCCGATGCAGAGGCCGGCAGACAGGCTCAAGCAAATGAAAAAGAGCGTGAGATCGTCCAAGCTGAGTTTGACATGTATCAAGTCGACGTTTTGGAACCGATGCAGAGTATCTTGAAAGATAGAATCAAAATTGCAACAGCCTGTATTGATGAGCTGCGAGGCAAACTCTTCGACTCAGCACAGCGTCAAACACCAGATCAGACCCAGGAAGAGGGCGATGAGGAACCAGAACTGGTAGAAAAGCTGACGCAGCTTAAATGGCTGTTCGACGGCCGTGAGAATCTGTTCCGGGAAGAGTACGATATCCTCAGCGAACGCAACGAACACTTCAGAGCCGTGGTATCGCTGCCCTATCACCAGGCAAAAAATGCCGAAAAGCTCACTGAAACCAACAACTTCTTCATTCGTGATGCTCAAGATCGAAAGCTCGCCTTCGTAGCCGACACTCTTAAACGCTTTGAGAGCTTTATGGACGTTATCGAAGCAAACGTCAGTCGAGGAGTTGAGACTCAACTGTCGGCTTTCTGGGATATTACTCCCCCAATCGTGACGATCCTGCAAGAAATCCCACAGAGCCTTGAGGGATTCTCTGTCCGCATCCCGCAAAAGGAATATGACGAAAACCCAAGTTATTATCAGTTTCCACTCCAATACTTATACTCACTTGTCACTCATGCGGGGAAATCAACGTATCAGTTCATTGAGTCCCAGACAAATCTCCTCTGCCTCCTTCATGAGATAAAATTCAGCCTGATGAACGCCAACTGCAAGTTCATGGAAGTACAGCGGATTATATCTGGCGAGGCAGAAGAAGACGTCCACCGCGAAATGCAAGAGTCTCGTTCCGAAGAGGAGAGAATCCTCACTCTTGATCTAAAGGAGAAAGTCGGCATGGTCGAGGGCCAATGGGCCGAAGCCCTGGGCCAGCAGCTTGACAGTGTCAAAGAGCGTGTCCGTCACCGTCTTGCCAGTGAAGGCGGATGGGAAGAAATGGAGCAGATGGAACAGACTTGATACCTTTCCGCTAGCTTTATATTCTCCCGTCCGCTTTTATTCTTCCCCCCTGTTTCACCATACCTGGGTATAGTATGTGGAGATGGGACTTGTTTATTTTTCTTTTTCGTTTTTTCTTCACATATGTGTTCCTATTCTAATAATACTTGATACCCATCTACGTTCGTTTGTATATTTTGATTTTTTCTACTGCCTCTGCGTAATTAGTTGATAAGGGGGCACTGATGAGTATGAAAATGGCGCTGATGTCTCTGTTACAGGCTCTTTATGATATAGAATGGATAATACAACTACACTTTTTCCGTTTGCTTCTGAGACTTGCATGATTCGTTTGAAGGGGCGTAAATTTGATTATTCCTCCAGTCTTCCCACTTTCCTCTCCATCTTGTCGTGGAATATAAAGGAGCCAACCCGTCATTATCTTCTACTCTCCCATACTCTCTCCCACCCATCTCCTATCATCTATCATGAATCCACCCTTATCAATGTCAAGCTCTAGTCCTAAATCCCTGCCTAGGTCAAGCTCTGTCACGTGACCATCCCTAAAGATAAAACCTGAAGAAAATCTCAACTTTTTCTTATTTTCTTTCTAGAGCTTTCTATAAAAAAGGACATCCACCAGGAAGAAAATAAAAGAAGAAGAGAAAGCTTCTTAGCTCCTCCAACGTAGTGATATCTCGCTCCTGTTCTCTCTCTCCCTCTCTCTCTTTTGGATTCTCGAGCTGGCTGACCGCTATAACATCTCGCAGCGTCTGGCTTTTTGACTACCGTTTGATGTAAGTTATCCACCCCTCCCTTGATACCTTTCTTCCACAATTCATCACTCGTTTTATGATGATACCCATGAGCTGGCACCAGTCCTAGAAAGATTTGTTCTCTGTTTTATGCGGAATAGCTTAACCCGGGCTAGAAAAAAGCCCATCTGAAGAGTTTTCAACTCACTTTTACTGCCGTGATGCTCTTAGCATTGAATAGTGTGGCTAATATTTGCATGGCATTTACAGATAGAAGAACTTTTAAAAAGAAGAAAAGCATCTTCGAGGCGTACGCTTCTTCTCTCGGACTAACACTCTTTACAGTTTCAATAATTCTTTGATCACAATGGTCCTCCACAACCCGAATAACTGGCACTGGGTGAATAAGGATGTCTCCAGCTGGGCAAAGACTTATCTAGAGGAAAACCTGGTTGGAATCTCCGCTGAGGAGAATGGAGTGACTGCTAAGATAAATAAACTGGTCAGCATGGATGGCGACGTGGACGTCAGCCAGCGGAAAGGAAAAGTTATAACTCTCTTCGATGTCAAATTACAGCTTGACTATGAAGGTTTGTGTATATGCCTGCCTACCTACCCGTCATATTTTGCTCCTCCAGATAGCAATGCATACATTCAATTCGACCGTTTGTCAAGGTTGAGCTCTGGCTAAGCGTTTCTCTTTTCTTTGATTCAGGAACCACGAGTGAAAATGAGGATGTCACTGGTTCGATTAAAATCCCTGAGGTCGCCCATGACACCGAGGAAGATGAGTTCGTAGTATGTGAATCCCTTTGGACGAGCAATTCCCCTCCTTTGAAGTTGTAAATTAGCCCAATTGTTGTAACGGAAGCCAACCATTTCTCCAACAGTTTGATACGAGCATATATTCCGAGACCGCGAAGAAGCAGCCCGTCAAGGACCTTGTTCGAGCGAAGATAGTGCCTCAGCTGCGTGCTGCACTCGTCAAACTTGCCCCTGCTCTGATCAAAGAGCACGGAAAGGACATTCAGCATGCTCCTGGCTCCAACCCGTCCAGCGGTTTTGCTACTCCCACGACTCTTAAATCTTCTACTCCCCAGCCAGCAAAGTCTGCTGCCACATCTACTACTACCACCACCACTACCGGCAAATCATCCGTCAACACTGTCTCCGTGAATGCCTCTGATGAGTTCCGTACCACTGCTGAGCAGCTTTACACCACCTTCACTGACCCCGACCGCCTTGCTGCCTTCACTCGTGGAGCTCCCCGTCGGTTCGACGGTGCCAAAGTTGGTGGACAGTTTAGCATATTTGACGGAAACGTGGACGGTGAATATGTTAATCTTGAGAAACCCAGCCTTATTGTCCAGAAGTGGCGACTGGCTCAGTGGCCTGCCGGTCACTACAGTACCCAGGAGATCAAGTTTGTTCAGAACGATGTCGATGGGGTCACCGTTTTGAATGTGAGATGGGATGGTGTACCTGTTGGACAGGAAGATGTTGTCAAACATAACTGGGACGGGTATTATGTTCGCAGCATCAAGCAGACCTTCGGGTAAGTCACTTCCTTGCATGGTATCTTGGGGAATGTAATGCTAATCGGCTACCAGGTTTGGTACTATCCTATGATCGTGTGCCGCTTTTAATTGATAGTCATATTGTTATTACGTTGCTTATGAGTTGATGCTAGAAATAAATGCATAGAGATACAGTCTCCGGTCCCATAGCCTCTTACGGTGATTAACCTGCCTACCTATACGCCCTTTACTGTACCAAGACTACCCCTAAATAAATAAGTATATCCTCCTTTTAATATGGAGCCACTATAGAGAAAATTCTTCAAATCCACTCTCGGATAAGTACCAAAGTCGGATATAGCATGCATGACCTTAATACCGTAATCCATGAATCAACCGAGTATCTCCAACATAAACATGTCATAGTATTGCAACTCCAAGAACTGACCCTGTCTTCAGCATGTGAATATTCAACAGGATCCGGACGCTATGCATTTGATGTTTCACTGCATGAACTCATCCCATGGATTCAACCTTGTTTTCGTCTCTTCCCCGGGCGTCTTTGCTGCAGAAACAGTGGCAATTGGCCCCCAGCTTTCTCTCTCTTCCCGCTCGCGTGATGGATATTGCTGTCACTCTCAATAATATTACAGTCAATATTATACCCAGTACAAGGTGATCCCGGGGTTGGAATCGGGGCTGCAAGGGGCTCTTCGCCGCCCCTCACGGTTTGCATTATAAAGCCAGCCGGTTCTTGCTTGACATCGCACGAACTCGAGTACTCTTGTTTCTCGCGTTGAGTCTTCTGTTCTACGCAGAAAAGACAAGTCTGCTGCTGTCTGCGTCGATAGCTTCGTCAAATACGTTCACGATGCGGATAAATAGTCTACTATTGTCGTCTTTCCTGGTTATACCGGCCGCGGTAGCATTCCAGGTCAGGTTTAAGCCGGTTGCAAAAACCGCTCTCGACACTGTGGACGATGGCACACTGCAGAGTCTGCTCGATAACATCGGGCTGAATGGCACGTATGCTTGGAATACAAGACCAGGACTGGTCATAGCAAGTCCTAGCAAAAGAGATCCAGACTGTGAGTTCTTTGGTTGTATTCAAACACTTGACAGAGCCTAACATTTTGATATATGTAAATAGACTTCTTTACCTGGACGAGAGACTCAGCTCTAGTGCTCAAGTGCATCATCGATATCTTTGCAGCGGGAAATACCGCTCTACAAGGGACGATCCATGAATACATCTCGTCTCAAGCCCGCATCCAGTTGTTAAACACTCGTTCAGGTGGCCTGTCAAGCGGAGGCTTGGGAGAACCAAAATACCACGTGGATGAGACTCCGTATAACGAAGATTGGGGTCGTCCTCAGGCTGATGGGCCTGCCCTCAGAGCTACCGCCATGATTGCGTACGCAAAGTGGCTTCTTGTAAGGATATTGAGTTTTCTCCGTATTACTAGACACCCGTTTCTTACTCTTTCATCACAGGCAAACGACTACTATGATGTGGCTAAATCGACTGTGTGGCCGGTTATCAAGAATGACCTTTCATATGTCAGCGAGCATTGGAACGCTACAGCCTTCGGTAACTATGTTCTTCTTACTCCTTTGGAGTGGCGTATACTGATACCAATCCGACAGATCTATGGGAGGAAGTAAACAGTCCATCATTTTTCACCACCATCGTCCAACATCGTGCCTTGGTGGAGGGTATGAACATGGCGCGTGCATTGGGCGAAACCTGCCCTCACTGCGAGTCTCAGGCTCCTCAGGCACTCTGCTTCCTGCAGACGTACTGGACTGGAACCCGTGTCCAGTCAAACTATGGTCATGGTCGCTCCGGACTTGATGTAGCCTCTATTCTGGGTTCCATCCACACATTTGACCCTGAAGGAGGATGTGACGATACTACCTTCCAACCTTGTTCTGCACGAGCACTAGCAAACCACAAGGCGGTCACAGATTCCTTCCGATCAATCTATAAGGTCAACGGTGGTATCAAACAGGGTCAGGCAGTAGCCATTGGCAGGTATCCCGAAGATGTGTATTTCAATGGAAACCCGTGGTACCTGGCAACTTATGCTGCTGCTGAGCAGCTATACGATGCCATTTATCAGTGGAATAAGATTGGAAAAATCATGGTAACGGATGTTTCCATGTCTTTCTTCAAGGATATATATCCCCAGGTGCAGGCAGGGACACACGAGTCTTCCAGCTCGGAATTCCGTAATATAATTGCCGCAGTAAAAGCCTATGCAGAAGGGTATATTGAGGTTGCGGTAAGTTACATTTTCCTGAACGGTATATTCCCGGGCGTTGGCTGACTTTAGCCTAGAAAAAGTACACCCCGTGCACGGGGATGCTCGCAGAGCAGTTCTCCAGAGACAATGGCGCTCCATTGTCTGTGCCAGACCTTACTTGGTCATATGCATCGTATCTAACCGTAATGGCCCGACGCAACTCCGTTGTTCCATCCTCCTGGGGTGAGAAGAATGCCCGAGATCTCCCATCTACCTGCATGCCATCGTCGGCAACTGGACCCTACCAAACCGCAACTGTAACCTACTGGCCACCAAATCTCACACCCACCGCAGCGCCTTCGCCTTGCCCTACTGCTCTACCAACGAAGAACAATGTCCGCTTCAAGTTGCTCGCTACGACGCAGGTGGGCGAAGACGTCTTCCTGGTTGGATCTATCCCACAGCTAGGCTCATGGGATGTCAAGAAGGCTGTCCCACTCAGCGCAGACATATACGCAGATAACTGCCACCAATGGTATGTCGACGTTGAACTCCCGACTGCCGTGGCTTTCGAGTACAAGTTCATCCGCAAGACAGGAGGAGACGTGGTGTGGGAGCAGGATCCCAACCGGAAGTACACCGTACCTCAGGCCTGCGGCGTCTCGGGCGCGATCAAGAGAGACACCTGGCGATAGATAGCCTTTTCACCATAAATCAATATCCATCTTCTGTCTTCTATATCCTCTGCTTTTCCTATCAAACCCGACATCCCGATTCTATAAACTCCGTCTCGCCGGCTCGGGATTATGTAATAACCACTTGAGGCTATGACGTTTTCCGAGAGTCGAACCTTCTTCTTTTAAGCTTTAAACTCTAAAAAGCAAACATAAACATCAACATCTAGATTCTCTGCCTGTTCGTCTTGTCCTCCGACAACCAACAAACTACAACCACGCACACACGCATACGAAGAGCCCAGAGCTCGTATTCCCCACGTCTGCTTAGCAAGACGACAAGGCTCGCTCGCTGGCAGAGCTTGCTGACAGTGACTATAAAAAGACCTCCTCCCTCCCCTCTCTTCCGTGTCTTGATCTTTACATCTGTTAACCATCGCTTCACAGGTCTGCAACTTCTCAGTACCCTCTACGCAGCTACGACAAGACAAATTTCACTGATACCCACGCGAAATAAAGCACGCAAACAGCTTATATACCCACAATATGGCTTCAGGTACCTCTGTTCCGCAGACTGGACGCTCAGTCAACCAGGACGTGCCGTCGACGACCTTGACGCTACAGACGCGTCCTACGCCCATCCCCAACTTCGAAGTGGGCGAGCACCTCATCCGCGTCCACGCGACTGCCCTTTGTGCTGGCGAGCTTTACTGGCACACTTACGTCACTTTCACCAAAGACGAGACAGTCCCAGGACCTGACGTGGCAGGCACGGTCGTGTTGGCGCCTCCTTCCTCGCCATTCCAACCAGGCGACCATGTTTACTGTCGCATTCCATATTCACGTCCGGGAGGCGCGAGGGACCACACTATCGCACTTACCAGCGAATTGGCACGCAAGCCGAAGAACTTGAGCTGGGAGGAAGCTGCAACAGTGCCTTTGTCTGCTCTTACCGCCTGGCAGGCACTGTTTGATCAGTCCGGCATGTGGGACGGACCGGAGGACGAGAGAGTGAAAGGGAAGAGAGTTGCTGTCACCGCAGCGTCGGGGGCAGTCGGGATGTGGATTCTGCAGTTTGCAAGGATTGCTGGGTTCGAGGCTGTGATTGGAACGTGTGGAGATGGAAACGAGGAGTTTGTGAAGTCAATGGGAGCCACGGATGCTGTCAACTACAAGAAAACCTCATTGATGGAGTGGGCGGCAGAGAAGGAAGGGCGAAAGGCTGATATGGTCATTGACTGCTTTGGAGGGAAGAGCCTGGTGGACGCCTGGGGTTGCGTCAAGGACGGTGGTGTGTTGGTCAGCATGGTTGGATACCCGGAGCAGGAGAAGCCAGCAGGGCTTGAGGTGAAGGACGTGAAGAGCCACTTTTTCATCATGGAGCCCCGGGGTGATCAGCTACAAAAAGTCTCGGAGTTGGTGGAGCAAGGGAAATGTTCTTTCTTGATGGACAGCGTCTACCCATTGGAACAATTTCAGGAGGCAACAGACAAGGTGGAAAGCCGACGTGTCAGGGGCAAAGTGGTGTTGAAGGTGGTTTAGAGGGGCCCCCGTGGTGAAAAAGTGGCCGGGATAGGGGTGAATTGGGATGATGGGATGGAGGAAGGAGAAAGGAGAAAGGAGCCCACCGACGAGTCCAACCGCGCACGATCCGACGATACGACGATACGACGATACGATAATATGGTGGTTAGAAAAATGGGGTTGCGGTGGAATGAAGGATAAAGGGCAAAAAGGTATTGGCGAGAAACGAACTGATATGGGGAAGTGAAATACGAAGTGACTGAGACTCACAGAGTTGATTTGACGCTGAAGCTGATACAACAACAAACAGCTCATGTAAAGCATTTTCAGAAACGAAAAATATTATCAACCAAAAAGCAAAACAAAAAGAAACAAGGAGGAAGAAGAACAAAAAATAAAAGTAGAAAAAAAGAAAAAGGGAGAAGAAAGAAGAGAGAAGAAAACAGCCTATACAAAGCTGCCGAAATAGGTAGAGAGGTGATTTTTGAGATCTGAGATTGAGATTGTGGAGATTTGAAGTGGAGGGTTAATAGGAGAAGGAGACGAATTGTAAGATTGTGAAGTGTGTTGAAAGACAAAAGGGGTGGTCAATTGGAGAGTTGATTTGGATATCAGGGAGACTGGGAGGATGATAGGAAGAGTGAATTGGAATTGGATTGGTCTTGGATTGGAGGAGGGTTGGGAATGGATGGCTGCTAGGAAAATGGGGTGGGGTTGAGCTGGAGATGGATTGGAGGAGTGAACTGGACGGCTGCTGGGAGAAGAGGCTGAAAGTGGACTAGAGATTGATTGGACGGATGAACTGGGCTTGGAGGAGAGATATGGTTCTGGAACCTGCACTGGAATCGGATGGAAGCTGGATTGGGTTGTGGTGGATGATTGCTAGGAAAAGGCGCTTCGGCTGAATTGAGGACGGATGTGAGGAGTGAACTGGAGCTGAGTTGAGGCTGGATTGTTGCCTTGGGAAGCGGCCGTCACCGGCTGGGACTTGATTTTGGGAATGGACTGGGACTGGAGTTGGAGGAGCGGGCTGGAGTGAACTGACGTACAAGAGAGCCATGGTTTTGGAGACTGGACTGGCATTTTGGAAAAGGCCCGAAGGGGAGCGTTGGGTGGAGGACCTGAAAAGAATGTACCCAAAGGAGGACGGGATACCTGGCACTGAAATTGACTGTGGTCTTTGATGGACTGAGCTGCATAGCGCAGATCTGGGAAGGGTCAGTGGAGGAGAAAAGGGTTGGACTAGGGTCCGAATTTGACAGTTGAACCGGGATGGATCATATGCAGTGATTGGCATGGGGTGACTGATGGTTGACATGGGCTGATTGATATGGGGTGGCTGGAAAGAGGCAGAGGGTGGTCTGCAAGGAAACCGTTACGAGCCGATACTCGAACACGCTTGACTCGTCGATGGGCTACAGGGTGACCGGCAGTTGTCAAAGAAATCGGGATAGATAGAAAGGCGTTGGGCTGGCGGGAGGGTGGGAATAGCTCAACACCCGATGGGGAATTGACGGGCCATGGAGGTGGCATTTGACTGATAGACGTGTGAAAGCGACCACATGGGCGCAAGACTGTTTACAGAGAAAAAGAGTGACTGATATGGAAGTATCATCATTGATCTTCTATTATCGATGGAGTTTAGGATAGCATGCATGTATCTCCTTAAGTTATGAGCATATGGAGAAATCGAATGTACTTTTAGTTAGGAACCTCCCAAACCATTTCCTATTCCCATGCCTTAAAAAAACATCCTCTTCTTTTTCATTAGTTAAGAAAACAAAACTTCGTAGTCATTAACCGGTGAATGAGAGATTGACTTAGAGAGTCTTCTCGATCATCTCGATGCCGTACTCCTCCTTCAAGGCCTTGATCAGAGGGCCACAGATCTTCATGTTCATGGGAGCAAGGATACCCTGGTTAATCAAAGTTAGCATCATTCAAAGCATCTGAATTTAGGATGGGACGACCTACCTTCTCGCTAAGAGTGCCGTCAAGAACCTGCCTGACAGCAACGGCACAAGGGATACCCACGAGCTTAGCCATGGCAGAGTAACCGTTTGGATCACCATAGTCACAGAGGGTGCTGGTACGGGTCTCCTTGGAACCGTCCTTGTTCTCGATCTCGAATCGATGCTGAAGCATAACCATATCCCTCTCGCCGGGACCATACTGCATCTTCTGCTCGAGGGTAGCACAAAGGGTATCAAGCGGGTTGTTACGGGGGGTAATCTTCTCGTCAGAGAAAACGCCAATCCATCGAAGAGCAGCCATGATACGGTCCTTCTCCTCGTTGTTAGCGAACTTGGTCTTGGAGGAGATAGCCCACTGGAGATCCTTCTCGTCGGAGGAAGAGGCGCCAAGAAGCTGCTTCATGGCCTCTTTCCATGGAATAGCAGTCTTCATGAACTCCTTCTCGTCTTCCTTGAGGAAACCTAGATCAACTAGGGTGCGGATCATCTGTGGGAAGCCCTGGAAGCGAAGAGTGCCACGGACGATGGTCTGGGCTTCTGGCATCTGGTAGCGTTCCTTGTAAGGGGTCGAGTCACGGTTGCCGTAGGCTACGAAGGCGAAACCTGGGTAGATGAAGTATGGCTTTGCGGTGTCCATGAGGTCGGGACCGGGGACGGAGACGATCTTGCCGTCTTCGTAGTACTTGGCGTCATTGCGGAGGGCGAGAAGCATACCTCTGCTTGACCAGGAGAATTTGTAACCTAGTGGGTTGTCGGAGCACTCTGGGGCTGGGAGGCCACCACAGTAGGACAGGAAGGATGTGACCTTGCCACCGGCTTCATGGACCTATAGCAAGTGAGTTGGATGCCATGTATACATGCTTGCTTGGAGTAGAACGCACCTCTGTGATGGTCTTGACGGCATACAAGTGGTCAATGCCCTAGAAGCAGGTCAATACCTATCTATATGCGTATGGCGAGGGGGATGGGGTATCTTCGACATACAGGGTCAAGACCAATCTCGTTCATGACTGTGATTCCGGCCTTCTTAGCATCTTCATCCAGCTCCATCATGGCTGGCGAGACGTATGAAGTAGTGACTACATTCTTCTTGGTGCGGATAGCTCCCTTGATGACGGTAGCGTGGTGGATGTATGGGATGAGGGAGATGACCAGCTCGACCTTGGCCAGCTCGGCATCTAGGGCAGCAGAGTCATTGACGTCCAGCGAGATGGCGTTCGTGTTCTTGATGCCCTTGCAGAGCTGCTGAGCACTCTCGAGCGTACGGCAAGCTGTACATATCTTTCGTTAGCTGGTGGTCTTGAGTCATGTTGTTTATAGTAGTGTTTATATAGTAGCAGGTATCACGCACCAACAGTCAGATTGACACCGGCCTTGCTCAGCTCGTCAATGGTAGGCTTGGTGACTGTCCACAGAGTAAAATATCAGCCAATTCATCCTCGCAGACGTTCTTCTGTTCTGTATCTTTGAGGCCGTCGACTAACCGAAGCCACTTCCAAGCCTGTTATCGTGAGTCAGTCAAGCTAGATAACGGAGGGGCAGCAGGGGGGTTAGGGGCTGCAGATGGCATACAGGAGCACTCTACGGCCTTCAATTGAGGAAGACATGGTATCGACAGGCTGGTTAAGACGAAGGAGGACGATGATGAGGCAGAAGAAGAGATGATGAAGAGTGAAAGGAGGAGGAAGAAGAAGAAGACGAAGACGAAGACGAAGACTTTGTGCACTTTTTGTCTCTGTCCGAGTTAGTCAGCAAGAAGTCGTTTAGTCGGTCAAAGTCTTCGTCTTCTTTGCTTCTTCTTCTTCTTCTTGCTCCTGCTTCGTCTGTTTGATATGGATGTTGGATAAGACTTGCTGCTGAGAGGCGAGGGTGATGATCTTGCTGCCCAACTGGCTCAGGGCCTACGGATGCCGCGGTGGTGCGTGCTAGGGAATCCATGTACGAACATATCTATACGGGTTTTCATTACTATTATACAGTAGTAAGAGATAAGAAGTAGTAGGTAGACGCCGGTGGAAGCCAGTAGAAGAAAGTAAGGTAGTGAAGAAGTGGTAGAAGGGTAGAAGTAGGCAGAAGTAGAAGTAGAAGTAGAAGAAGTAGGTAGGTAAGTAGGTACGTTATATGGACTTGACTTTGATATCATCGTCCTCCAGCCACGGACTGTCAGTAACATTCAACCGCTCAGAATCCGAGTTGTAGGCGCTGGGAAAGTCGAACTCGGGCTCTCGTCTGGGGCCGGTCTTCCTGATTCTGCGCTGCCAGTCCCAGATCACAGGCAGGAACTCCCAGAGACTAAACGCCGGCCACAGCGTGTCCAGGAAGATGATCTGGGTCTCCTGGTGGCACTGCCAGAGCATGAAGTCGCTGAGACGCTCGACGCCAGAGGTGCGGATCAGGATGTCGAGTGGCGGACAGCCTGCGGTGAGCATATGGTCGTTGAGCGTCTGCGTGGCGATCGTCTCGGGCGAGTGAAAGAGCAGTTGGTCACTGTTCGGGGGATACGAGGTATACAGCTCTGGAGACCTGGCAGCGTGCTGTTGCTGCTGCTGCTTGCTTGCTCCGTTCGTAGGTACATGGTGCAGCGTTGTGGCGGAAGACAGTGACGAGTTGGAGTCGTATGCCGTCTCGTTTGCCGACGACGTAGTGACGGGGCTATTGCTTCCGTTCGACAGCGACTCGCGCGGATCCGCACTGGGTGTGTGTTCACGTATATTCTCAACAATCCGCTTCTCAGAGAACGGTCGACGCGGCGAGTTCACAGCGGGAAGCTGGCTCCTGTCTAACGGCGTGCTATACTCCACCACCGTGTTACGGACCGCAGAGGTGATCTCGTCTCTCGAAGTATAGGGAAAGCAGATGTTGAGGATAGCGTCTCCGTTGCCGCTGGTCAGCTCTACCGTCCTGTCCACGGCTTCCAGCACATCCGGGCGTATCTGGTCTCGCCGGCCCAGCACCCGCACGCTGGCTCCGTATCTCTCCAGCAGCTCGCCGTGCTCCGACAGCTGCAACAGCTTTAGCTTCGCCATCTCCATCAGCGCATCGACCTCGTACTTGGACCGTTTGAAGTTCTCAATGCTGAAGGCGTATATCGTCACCACCTTGATGCCGGAGCTATAGCACACTTCTAGTATCTGCGCCATCAGTTAGCTTCTTTACCACTCATTCTCACTCTGTTTGTATAACGAACGAAAAAGGGAATACCTTAGCCAGCGCCTCGAAGCCCAGGTTATGGCCCTCTACTCGCTCGATGCCCTGGTTGCGGGCAAACCGCCTGTTCCCGTCCATCACGAAGGCGACATGCTGTGGGATAGGGCCCTGTCGCAACGCGCCGATCAACAGCTCTCGCAGGTAGTATATAGCCCCTTCGACGGGCGGAGATGAAGCCAGCCATTTCCGTATCCTCGACAGATGCATAGACGAGGCCATCGTGAGGCTTCTCGAGGTGTCTCGTAGGGGGCGTTAGCAAGTGGTAAAGGTAAACGTGGAAGTCCTGGTGTTTTCTTCTGCCAGCGCAAACGCAGTAAAGCAAAGCAGGTAGAGAGAAGGATGCGAAGGAGAATAAGCCTGCGAACAGCAAACGAGCGAAGAGAATATCCAATGTAAGTATTATTAAAATAAAGTAGGATGAATTGAAGCAGTGATTATTTGGCTACTTGATAAGGGAAGAAAAACGAGCGAGTGACGTAAATGCGACAGTCAGACTTCGTGGCTTTGCCGCTTGTTTTATTTTTATTTATTTTATTTTTATTTTTTTTGCCTTTTTCTGCCTGTTCTTGTTTGTTTTTGTGTCTCGGATGAAGTCGAGGAGCCCCTGACTTGTGACATGATAGAAGAAAGACAAGCAGAAGACGGTAGAGAAGAGAAGAGAAGAGAAGAAGAAGAAGAAGAGATGAATATAGAATAGATAATAAAAATGGTAATAGATAGATAGTTGCGAAACGCCTGCTGGACCCTGAAGACAACATCGTAAGATCATCCAAACCATGGACTCCTTTTCCTCCTTGCTTTTACGGTCTGATATAAAAAAATAGATAGATGAAAGAGAGAGAGAGGTTAAACGTCCTTGCGGTTCTCTGGAGACGGAGATCCAGAGTCCGAGGCGGCTTCCCACATGTTCGAGTCCTCGCTCTTGCGCCGTCGTTGGCGGCCTCGCTCCCGCATCGCGCCCCGGATACGCTTGCTCACCTCGTCGAAGCTCTCCTTCGTGTCGAGCGTGCTGAACTCCTTGAGCGGGAAGCCAGAGGAACCTATCAGGCCGCCATTGGAGCTGCTGCGGCTGCGACTGCGGCTGGAGGGCCGGGTAGAGAAGAAGCCGAAGCTGGCGAGGTCGTGGAAGGATTCATTGCGAGGCAGCTGGTCCTGCATGGAGGATTCGGTGTGCGAGCGGTGGATGACTCGTGGACGGCCGTAGTCGTCCAGTGGTTCTTCCGTCTCGTGGGTGTCCTCGAGGGACTCGAGGGAGGAAGACGGCAGGTTCTCGCGGAAGATGGTGTCCTTGAAGGGGTTGGAGACGACGCGGGAGGAGTCGAAGTCAGGGAACATCTCTGGGCCCAAGGTGTTGATTAGGTCGGTTACTTGGATGGATAGCTCGGCCCGTCGTTCTCGGAGCCGGACGAGTGTGTTGGCTGAGCTTGGGTTGAGAGAGAGGACCAGTGGACGGAGAGACTTGAGGATGTCCATGCCGATTTCTCCTATTCGGAGAGCGGCAAAGGTGATGGACGGGAAGATCCAGAAGCCGAGCGGGACGATGGTCCAGAGCGGGACCCAGCCGGGCACGTATCCCCAGACCCGGTGGCTGTAGGTCCAGTAAGTGAGCAGAACGGTGTAGAAGGTGTAGAGCAGCGGCGCAAAGGCCAGGGCCACGAGCAGCTTCCAGGTAGCCATCACGTCGCGGCCTTGGATCTTCACGCTGGACGCCGCCAGTGCCTCTCGGGATTTTTTGATAGAGATAAGCTTGGTGGCCACGAACACGGGCAGGAAGAGGACGAAGCCGGGTAGGGTGCCGATAGCCATGACTACCAGCTTGCCCAGTCGGTAGATGAGAGTGGCAACGACTTTGAAAATGGAGAATTTGGCATACTGGACCTGGTGGTCTCGGATGCCTAGGATACGGAGCTGCTTGTTATAGTCCAGCACAGACTTCTTCAGGCTGATGATCCGGGGATCGTCCTTGTAGTGAGCATAGCCCTTGGCCAGACGACGGTTGAGCTCGACAACCATCGGCAGGGGCAGTTTCTTCCCTGTAGGGTTGTACAGTCGTCTCGCAGCTTGAATGACCTATACAATTGATTAGCCAAGTAATATTACTTGTTAAATGCAATTGAAACATACCATGAGTGATTCGTAGTCAGGAGATGTGACGGTGACGGTGACTAGGGCCTGGTATATCGTGTCCAACAGCGTGCCTACAGACTCTCGCTTCTGGCCCTCCTTGTACATCTTGACCAGCTCCGGAGGCACCTTGACCGGGTTTCCAAATTCAATGACAGCCCGAGACCGGAACTTGTGGGCATGGAAGTAGTTCATTCCAACAGGTATAATAGTCACATCGCAGTCAGGGTTAGCAGCCACGGCTCCAAGTGCCATCAGCGCAACACCAGCTATGAACATGTCAGCACAGTAGATGATAATATATAGAGAGAAAAATTCGTACCTTTCAATGGCAACAAATCCGGACGATCATGACTTCCGCCCTCCGGGAAGATACCAATACAGCCTCCATGATTCAAAGTTTCAAAGACAGCATTGTACACCTGCGTCTGGTCAACATGCGGCGCGACCTTGAACCTCGAGCCCTGAAAGCCAGCCGGACTCTTCCCATCCGCGCCCTTTTTAAAGTTGCACTCTTCGTCGATGTCGTCTCGTCCCGTCAACTGCTGCAGCGCCTGCTGAGTCTTGAACGGTTTCTTCAATATAATCTCCTCTGGTCCCTTGATCTCGCCGATATCTGTACTGCTCGAGCGTCCACCAACAGACGGCAACGATATGGTACCTCCAACTTCAAAAGCGGAGGAAGTGAAGTCTGTTCCGTGGCCACGCAGAAGGGTAGGATTGTTGACTGGGTCCGGTAGATAGATGGTTCCTTTCCCTGGCTTCAGGTTGTCCATTGCTCGCGTAACGGGTACAGAGCCGGTGAATCGAGCAAGTAAGCCGACGAAACGGCGTTTGAACGACTTTTGAGCGATGAGGAAGGCGATTCGACGGTGAAGTTCCATGCGCATAACGCGCATCAGTATCAGGGAGTCCACGAACTGGTAGACGTTAGTATATCTCCATAGCACATCGCAACGCAGCGCAACACACAATCCAACACACAACGCAACACATCTCGGTTAAGATAGAGTATATACCTGATTGGCATGAGGAGCAGCGACCAGAATCACTGGCCCTCTCTTGGGGACCTTCCATGAGCCGCGAGGATGCACTTCGCGGAAGAAGAGGTCGACCAGCAGCGACAGGAACCAGAGGATCAGGTCGTACATCCAAGTGACCATCGGCCGGTACTCCTTGTCCCCGGACGCCATCTTTTATCCCGTAAACAGTGCAATCAACGGTATCCACGAGCCGGCTATGGGTTCTTGTTGTTCGTGTTCGTGGGATAGACAGTGACTGTCCTTCGAGGTGATGGCCCTGCAACCATAGAGCGGGACGTCCGGGTGGTTACTTGGTAGTAGAAAGGGTGAAGCTGGAGTATTCGACGCAGCAGCTCAAGCGAGCCCTCCTCTCTTCGTCTTCTTTCGTCTTTCTTCGTCTTATCCAGCGATGGAGTCCGTGCTGGTGGTATTTGTCTCGCTGGTGGGGGAAACCTGCGTATCTTTTTTTGCCCGGGTGTTTATATTTGCATCGCCAACTGGTTAAATATTGAACTAATAACCAGGAAGCGCTCACTAACTGTCCGTCCCGCCCCTGGATGTTCTTTTTCCTTCTTCGCTGTTCGCTGGACTGAGACACGAACTTGCTGGTCGAATAACTGGTTAACCCTGGAGTTAGCAGCAGGGAAGCTGTCAAGCTACTTATTTAACCATTCGGTGCGTGGATTGAGTGCTTGCTTGAGAATTAGCCGAAGGAGGCGAAGACGCTGGGCTGGAGCAGGACGTGAAAAGTGACAGCAAACTCTTTACTTTATGCATGGATGTTACGCAGGCGAAGGTTTCTTGCATGGCATGAAGAGATGACATGCTTTGAACATGGCTGGTCGAGGTCGAGGCGAGTTGAAGCTGAAGCCTATGGCAGAGAGAGCTGGAGATGCATGATGCAGAGTGATGCAACTTCTACCAAGAATAAGAATAAGAATAAGAAAGAAGAAATACATAGACCAGCTATTAGATATCCGTCGCTTTGCCCCAACTCCGTCGCTCATGAATTCCCTTATAAACGACATATATGTAGATGTAGATGTGGATGTGGATGTAGATGGATGTAACACCCGAGCCCCTGACTCTAACCTGTCAGTTATACCAACGCTCTACCTCCTCATCGTCCTCCAGCGCTGAAACTGGAGACACTGGAGTCAACTTCGTTTCCCTGGCCGGCGCACCTCTCCTGCGTCCCACTATCCTGCTGAGTTCCGCCTGGCTCACCCGCCGCTGCATATCCAGCAACAGCTTCTCCTGGTCCTTCCAGCGGCGCTCCCAGACATCCTCGACCTCGTTGCGTGCTCGCTCAATCTTCTCGTCCATCTGGGACTCCATCCGGGTGAGAGCCTGACGCAGCTCGTCGATGACGAATTCACGGTTCTTCAGCTCCTTGCGGTACACCTGGTCGACTTCGTTGAGACGTTCGCGCATGTCGGCTAGCTCACGGCATTTCTGGTGAAGAACCCGACGGTGCTCGCGGTCGATGCTGCGGATCATGCGGGAGAAGTGGATGCTAACCTCGTTCTCGGTGTCCATGGCTGGAGGCTCGTCGGTGTCGGCGTAGCCTTCTTCGACCATGGCAGGGCCCTGCGGGATGGCTAGGAGCGGGTTCCGGGTTGCTGTTGCTGTTGCTGCTGCCGTTGCGGTGGCCGTGGCTATGGCTGCTGCTGTAGCTGTAGCTGTGGGGATGGCCTGGGGGCTTGTGGGTGGTGAGCGGCCGCGGGAGACGCTGGACTGTTCGCCTGTCGGTGTGTTTCTGCTGCTGTAGCTGCCGCGGCTGTGGGTAATTCCATTCTGGAAGTCGGCGCTGGAGCCTCCTATGCTGGGGCCGGCGGAATGGGTCATGCGAGGGCTTGAGGATGGGCCTGCGCTGAAGATGGCGTTCCGTAGCGACTCAAAGGACATGCCTGTGTCCAGCTGGGGGAGACGGATGCCATTGCGACGTCGTAGAAAGTTGTGTCTGTGGACATTGTTGTTGTAATGGGTATTATTGTTGTTGTTGTTGTTGTTGTTGTTAGGGCTGCTGTTGCCATTGTAGTGATGAGCGTTCGGGTAGAGGTTGGCCTGGATGTTGCTTTCCGACACCGAACGTCTTTTAGCTACGACGGTGATCTTCTCAGGTCCAGGGACGAACGAGTGAGCTCGAGAAACCAGCCCAGAGCCAGACCCTGAGCCTCTCCGCTCACGCTCGACTGGAGTCCCCGGCAACTCAGCGACGAGATGCTCGCTGTCCTGCAGCCGAGGCGTCTCACTACGCTCTTCCGTCCTGTCCTCCGTCAGACTCACAGACGGAATCCGCTGTCTCGTTACCGGGTGCTGGTGATAGTCATGCTCATTCTCTGGCCATGCGATGTGGTCGTAGTCAGGGATATTAGGGGCCGGCAGCTCGTGCATTTGCATTGCGCTAAGGATGTTTGTGTCCGGGAAGGAATACTCGGGCGGCGCAGCTGTGTACGGCGGAAGACCTGGATGCTCTGTGATCCTGGAGCCGTCTCGGCTGATGTGGAAGATTCTTCCTCCCACGACAAGCTCCATGCTCCGGACACTCCTGGTGTCGTCCTGTAAGGTGGTGATGGTCACGCCCGTCCTGGTCGAGACGACGCTGGACGACCTGCTGCGGACTGAGGCACCGCCGCCGCCACCGACCCGCGACTGAGCAAGGCTCTGCTGGTATGACTGGTCCTGCGGTTCCATGGCCATTCACTGTCCTTTGACCGTCTTAGGGGGTATCAGATGGAGATTCCTTCGTATGTATGAAGCAGTAAACAATGGCAAACAGGCCAGGCTCATCCGTCGCAGTCAGCTTTAGCCGTGCAGCGAAAACAGATGAACAACAAATAATTAAATAGTTGGTTAACTATAGCTAGCTCATCTAGACTCGAGCGAATGTAAGAAGCCAGCTTGCCTCTTGTTGGTTATCTGATGACTGTCTCGTCCAGTGTGGCCTTAGCCCAGTAGTTAAATGATTTCTCCGCTGCTTCACGTTAAAGGGCGAACCACTCACTCCACAGCCACGTCAAGAGTCAAGGCAGCAAAAATAAAAAGGGCTTTTCCGTGCTCTTGTGCCTTCAGCCTCATGGAGAAATACGACTTTCGCAAGGGTTAAGTCACGATGACAGCTGGTGATTGGGTGCGTGCAGCAATTCACCGTCAATGGCTGATTCTCGGGCCTCTAAGTGGTGGGAGATGCGTCCAGGACACCAGGCAGCGTCGTTCTTTCTGCAGGCTCCAAGCCATGTTTCAATGCCAGCAGAGAGATCCATCGTTTTTCCGTTCTCTTTTCTGCATGTTTCTCGTCATTTTCATCTCGTCCCTTGCGTTGATGGCCCGTGATGCGCATCCAGGAGATTCCTGCTGCCTAGCCGATCCCGAGTGCAGCTGCACAGATCCCACCAAGCCCTGAAATTGAAATCTTCCCGAAAAATATCGCCTTTAGGCCGTGGTTATCTAGGTATCTCCGCGGTTAAATGGACACAGGCGACCAGGGGCAGTCAACTACGGGGCAGTGCCATAGGGGCAGTGATGTCTGTCGATGCTCAACGGCGTACATTTATCGGCCATGCTCCATCAAACCCGTGCAAGCAATAACGATTGCCACCGAGACGGCCCAAACCCTTGAATTTGCTTGGTGATTGCTCGTATTAATATCAATTAACCTGGTTTAAACCAGCATAATTTCTTGTGCGAGCCTGCAGCTAAAGAGGGTTAATATACACTTATGGTCATATAAATCTAGCAAATGACCATGAAAAATAAACGAAATAAAAAGAAAGCCCATAGTCACGGTCTGTTAATTAATTAACATGAGTTGATTATTCTTTGTTACATTGAGGCTGTGCTGGAGATAGCTAACTACCTACAAGTGAAGCCAGCCTTGCATCTGCTTCGTATTGATTAATATCAATTAGCCCAGCTTAAATAGACATAATCTATAGTAGAGAGTCGCATCTAAGGAGGGTCAACATGCACTTAGGTTTGTATTAAACCCAGCAAAAGACTAGTTATCAGTTATACAAAAAGGGGAAGAAACAAACGAGAGGCAAAAGAAAAAACTTGCCTGTTAATCAACATAACATAAGCCAACATCTTTTGCTCAATTGAGTTACCTTGCTGATGCATACCGAGTGCCTGTACGCGGTGGACACATGTTGATATCCAGCCTTGCTACCTCTGGTATTCCGGGGGGTATGCCTGTTCGAGCGTCATTTCAACCGTCATGCCTGGCTACAATGTTTGTCTAACAGGTAGATAGACGAACAAGCCAGCGTGGCCCCTTTGGCGCTAAGATCCGGACCGGACCGGACCCTGTGGAGATAACCAAATCCTCTCCTGGAGCTCGACAGCATCATTCCATCCATCCCACATCCCATTCATTGCATTCCCGGAGCGCAACAACCAGGACAGGTCTGAAAAAAAAAAAAAATTCAGTATCTTCATCCACTGTGTCTGATCCACCAGATCTGCTAAAAGTTACAAAATAAAAAAGATACAACATCCACAAAAGGAACTGCTCCCATGCGCATACATACACTCCTCCCCAGACACGGGACACTTATTTGCTCCTTGCCCAAAGAAGACAGCCCTCTGCGCTAAACATCAGTTCACGCTAAGCCCAATCGAGGGACCAACCATGGTTGGTCCCTCGATTGGGCTTAGCGTGCATGAAGCGCCAATTCTAGGTCTGACTCTTTACTAAGCAGCCTTAGCACCTCCTGCCCCAATGATGTTGTTTTGTCCACTTTCCTTTTCCCAAAACAAGTCAGCCAGCTTGGAACAGTCAAAAGCCGCGTTACTTTTGCCTCCATTTTTGTCGCTCCCTAGCTGCTTAAACTACGTTACTAAAGAAGTGACAAAATTCCGTCACTTGTTTAGTAAGCATGAGAGCTCCCCAGGCCCGCATAATACCACGTGACTTTAGGTAGCAGCTGCTACCTAAAGTCACATGACTCCAAAGGGGAATACAGGGGTCTGAAAAAAACCGTTCAAGTCTTAAAATTTACAGTTTCTCACACGTAAATTTCAACCCTATCCACAAACATAACTGTTAAAAATCTGATATTTACTGTTTCTCTCCCCCTCTTGTTTCTTACATTGATGCATACCCGATAAATTCCTGCTGGCCCGTCCTCGAGCCCAGCTGCATACGATACCTCTAAGCGAAGTTGTGATTTTCTTAGATGATCAACGTATAGAGTAGGTGCTATGTCGGAAGCCATGCCTACCAAGCGGATGCACTGATCATCCCACGCTCGCCAAACATGGCAAGCAATGACGGTCCCTAGGAACAAAACACAGAGCCAATCCTTGTATTTGCTTCGTATTAATATCAATTAGCCCGGATTAATTGATATTATTCCTAGTAAAGAGTCGCAGCTGTGGATGGTTAATATACCCTTTTGGTCCGTATAAACTATGCAAAGGGAGAAGAAACGTTCGAGAGGTGAATGGAAGTCCCCATGCACATAGTCCGCTAATTAAGATAACCTGAGCCAACGCACTTTGCGCGATACTCTGTGGACTATTGGATCCCCTTAATGCATACACGGTAGACGCATCTTGATATCCATCCAGCCTTGCTACGGAGTAACTACAGACAAGCCACCTAAGCCCCCTTAGTATCTCCAAGAGATGTACCACAACAGACTCATAGAGACAACGTACTGGTCAGCGTCAAAGTCCAACTCGGCTGGAGCACCGCAGTAGCATTCCATATCCCTTTGCAACAACCAGAGCAGTCCTGAAAAAAAAAAAAAAAAAAAGAGAAAGAAACATCCCACATCTAACTATCCCAGATCCGTCAAAAGCTGCATAATTAGAAGTTTTGACACTTGCCTGGATTGGAATTCCGCAGTCCTTGTGCAGCTTGTTTTTTTACCCTCTTTGTAGAAACAGTTCCTACTAGCTTGCTCAAAAGTTCGGCAACTAAATCATGCATAGATGATGAGGAGAAGATGAGTTACATAGATATCTTCATATACATGTGTAGGGCCAAACCCCGAAGTTGTGACAAAAATCGATTTTGTCACAACTTCGGGGTTTGGTGTCAAGAGGCGATTTAACAATAAAAGATGCGCTGGTGCGAGAGGCCGACGATGAAATAGGGGATCTCCTGCTCGAAGTCAAATAATACACGGGTTTGGCAAGGATGAGGAAGAGGGAGATGGATGCGATCGGGATCCGAAGATTTGAACCACCAGCATACTTAGCATAGCGTACCTATATATAACTCAATTGTGAGGATGGGTTCGCCCCTGGAGCGTCTCGATCAACCTCTCTGAACCATCGGTCCTTGCCACTGTCCTATTGCAAATAATGAAATCTTTGCCTTTCAGTAGAAACAAGAAGCATCCTTCGAAGTAGACGCCTTCCAGCTAAAAAGCAAGAAAAAGTAATTTCCTTTTTTTCTCACTTTCCTTTCGTTCTGTTTACTTTGTTCTTCCTCTCGTTTCTTTTTTACGAAACACACATCTATAGCCTGCGTAGGCACCTTATATCCGGACTCTTTCACCATCCCCCGTATTTGTCTTTTGCGGGCTGTTTAGATATGGAGAACTTGAATACCTATTTAACCCACAATAGTTAGCGACGCAGCACAGGTTTCGTTAGCCGGCAAAATTGTACATACTCCGTACATGTCTGTACCTGGATTGTGTCAATAGAGGACCGTCACGCTGTAAATGAAGTTATTGCTTGTTGGTTAGCGTGGTCTGCCAGCGCAGGTGAACCAGCTACGTAGGTAGGTAGAATTTAAACCAGGCATGGGTTCTAGCTGATAACTAAAAAGGCAGACGAAGAGATCAAGGTCATCATCATGATCGGACCCAAAAAACATCTAGTAACCAAATATCTAACTAGGTATGTCTAAACCGAGTTAACCGAAAAAGGCAGATAAAGGGGCTACGACTAATCCTTGCATTTGTTTAACCTTGTATGTAGGGCCACTCGCTTCGGCGATAAAGTTACTGACCAATTCCACGAGCTGACCTCTATCCGTCGAGTTTCATGCCCCCTAGTTGACTGGGTAAGAACCGTTAACTAGGTAGTCAACCTGATGAAGGCGTATATTGACATCCAGCCTTGCTACAGAGCACAAACAAGCCACCCAAGAACCGTAACTAACTAGTTAGTTACCGCACCAAAAATTGTGGAGACAACGTTCTGGTAAGCATCAAGTTCCATCTCCCATGGAGTGCCTCAACAGCATCCAGCATCCTATATCCCGTTGCAACGATGAGGACGGGCTTGAAAAAACCATCCCATCCCTCACGTCTAATCAACGAGACCTGCCAGGTTGCAAAAAAAAAAAATTCGACTTTGGCGCCCTACGAAGAAAGGCCTCCATGGATGTGCCCTTCTCCTATGGATCTAGCTCTGATTGCAATTTCGCAGCCCTTGTGGAGCTTGTCTTTTTATCCTCCTTCCCTTTTTATCTCCGTCTCAGTTGCTGGATTCGAGTTGTTGAAGAGTCCTTTTCTCTTTGCCTGTTCTTCTACCGTATATGTTCAGAATTTGATTGTCGGTTGTGTTTTGAACAAACACTGTCCCGAGTGTTCGGGGTGGGCGAAAAGAGACTTTGATACACATCAAGTTCAGCTTCCGTTCCGGCTAAAAATAAAAATTAATAATAAAAAAAGAGAGCCCTCCTTGTCTTTTTAACTTCCTTACCTTTGCGTTAGTTTCATCACAGCCCTCTGCTTAGTATCTACCTTTATCCTCTCAATTATCCTTCGCATCTGGCCAACCAGCTGTGCAAGATGTCGTGAAAAAAAGTCTGGATAATGGAGTGCCCCAGCTTGACAACGGATGATCTAGTCAAGCAAGCTGTAGAGTGGAAAGGGCCAACCGCCATATTATCTCCGCCAACGGTAAATTATTTTGCTGCATAATTGCCTATTTGGCATGCAAACCTGCAGTACCTGAGCAAGGAAGACTTCTTAAGTGGATTGTTTGATTTCGGGTTTAGCGTCATCTGCACATAGAGAACGAACTCGAGAGTCTTGATGGAAAAGCGCGGATTGTCGCGTTAGTTAGCTGGTCAAGTAGTTCACGCCGAAAGTTGCAAAAAAATTAAAAAAAAAAATAAAAGAAAGAAGAAAAGAAAAAATTAAAAAGTAAAAAAGAAGATGGAAAGGAAGAAATGGCGTTCCAGGGCTGATTACCACTGATCAACAGACTTGTCTTGTGGCCGTCGTTTACCGAAACGGCCTCACCAGATCAGCTCTGATACTTGCTACCTTCGCTTGTTGCCCCATTGTTGCATAATTGCTCAAAAGACCGTGGGGAGGAGGACTCTACGCAAGACCGCGGACCCGGTACGATCACCTGTGCCCTTTCGTCCCTGCACAACTCGTTTCATGCGGGCTACTGGCTTAAGCTTACTCCGTAGGTAGATTAGATAGTTAACTAAGAGAACAATGGCCAAGCACGAAAAAACGTAGGACAGAGTGCTCCCTCCATACAGAGAAGTGGGAAGGAATGGTGCTTTCGCGGATACTACGGATGCAAAAAAGCCCCATAAGTGCGGAAATCTACAGGTCCCTCGCGCGTAGATGTCAGGCCATAACGGCCTTTTGAAGCCCCCTATTCCATTTCCCGCTAGGAAGATAAAGGTGGGATGGAGAAGGGTGTGGCGCGCAGATCTACGGAGCAAGTGTAACTAAGCTCATCCGCACCCTGTCCTTGTAAAACTCCTTGCACGCCAGCTCGCGATCTGCCAAAAAGAAAACAAAAGAAAAGAAAAGGAAGACTTTGAAATGTTTTAGGCAAACTATAATTTGGGCTCGCAGTGGGAGGTCCGTACAGTTACTACTTGGTCGTTAGGATAACACCAGGAGTGCATCGTTATTTTTACACCAAAAAAGGGCTATAAACTTGATTTTTTCCTTTATATTTAAAAAACTATACTTTTTTTTTATCTTATAAATAGTAATGATATACTACTTGTTAAATAGAAATTTTTATATATAAACTTTCACCATCATCATAGGCTACAGTTGCTCATCTGTCAGTAGAAAAAGTAACAACTGTCACTTCTTTCACGTGTGTGAGCAGTCAAATAACTGCCCAGGTAGTTATAATTCAAATCATGCATGGGATCTGGCTGAGAAGAAGAAGCAGCATCAGAATCAGAATCAGAAGCATCGATCTGGGTCTTCCTGGGCGAAAGATACTTGCTCGGATAGAACCCTAAGCTTAAAAATAAAAGAGAGAGAGAACGAGAATCACATCCACATCCCCATCGCGCACACCGACTAACCGTGCATGATGATGATAGTACTGTAAAAGATGCGAAATGACATGCTGACGAAAGGACAGAGGAACTCAAACAATGCATGGGTGTTTGGCAGGGTGAAGAATAGGAGGATAAGTACAAGAGAGACAAGGGGTCGATTGTGTGGATGGGCGAAAGGTTCGGGGACGAGGATTCGTGCCCTGGAGCGGTCTGACCGGCGTCTCTGAACCACTCGGTAACTACCGCCCGCCGTCCTACCACAAATGATGAAATCATTGACCCTCATTCCATGAACAGCAGCAATATCCATCGAATTCCAGTGAAGAAAAAGCAAAAGTAATTTCCCATTTTTTCTGCCTTCTACCTTATTTCTTTTTGTATCCAAAACACATCTACACACATTCATATCCTAGGCCAGTACGTTATATCCGGACCCTTTTATCATTCTCGGTACCGGTCTTTGCAAACAGAGGCGGTCGAGTAACCGCAGCCCCACCTCCCATCAGAAGCCTAGGACTAGTTATACGTAACCCGCAAAAGTGGACAGACCCAAACAACCGCTTACTTTGGCGATAGGGGAATGATGTTCAAGCACCGACTTCTGCTACTTGGCAAGAGTGCCTGGCACTCTTGCCAAGCACTTTTTCCTCCTTGGCGGCGCAAATCGAGCTAAATCCAGACCCAGATGCCTACCTGAGCAAGTATCCCCATGAGCCAGCACGCGTATCTAACTGCTCTGTACGAAAACTGCCCTGTCCATTGTGTATCAATCAAGTCGTTACTGGCCCGATGGAGAGGACAGCTGCCTCCGTATCCTGGCACTTTGAATAGCGTGAAGAGGCATAGAAATCCACGGAGCAGTTTAACTACATGCGTTGCCCCAGTGGTGGATTCAGACAACGAGCAAAGGAATCGGTAAGCTAGCTAGCGAATAATCAGAAAAGCGCAAGAGCTCCCGGGTTGCTTCCGCCAGATTCAGCTGGAGGCGATGGGATGTGAAAGGTGGCTTCAAACGGAAATACATACAACAACGGCTATATGGTTAACCTAGGTAGTTAATGACTTGCGGTGCTTCTTTTTTTTTCTTTGCCGTTTTTGCTTCTTTGGTGCCTACCTAGTAGCTAATTGCTTATTCTTTCCGGTAAAAGCAAGGGGAAGAGGGCCGGGGAAAGGCCCCGACTTCGGTAGATTGCGCATTGCCTTTTGAGTAGAGAGGAGAGGAAGGGGAACCCCTCTAGCCGGAGATACACGATAACTTGCAGCTACTCGAAGCATTGGAAAAAGGAATCATGTACTCGGTAACTAGCTCTTTTGTGACACAACAAGATATCTCTTCTTTTTCCCCTGTGTTTTCTTTTTGAATAAGCTTTGAATGCTCGGATTCAGCCACCCGTCGAGCTCTCTAACGAACCACCTGGCTTAACTCCGTATTTATGCAGTATGCAGAGGGTCAATGCTGAGATAGCCACGCTAAGCTCCAATTTTAAGCAGAGCCCAGATTGTGCTCCCAACGACCCCTACCCTGTCAACTTGGCCATGACTGACAGCATCACCCGAGCCGTTAGTTAGTTGACCTAATAAAAAGACAGTTGCCTCCATGTCCTTGGATTTCGGAGAGCGTGAAGAGACATGGAAGAGTACAGAGGGTAGATAGTTATATATAATTCTCCTAGTGTTAGATTCATGCAATGAGCAAAGTTGACCTAGGACCAGTAACTACCTAGGTACTCCGTAAGCTCGCCCCCGTCTCTTGAAATGGGTGGACGGCGCTCTAGCTGGGGTGTCTCCAAATCGAGGAGAAAGCTGCGAAAGTTAATCGCGTAGCATCCATCGCGTCTGATCAGCCCGAGACGTATACTTGCGTCATTTGTTGCATGATTGCTTATTGTTTTTATTGAAGACACGCAGAGTCCTACTTCGGATTGGAGAATGTCATCATGCTCGTAAGCTAAATAGCGTCTTGATTAATGGCATCCCTGCATGCAGTGCGCGTTGATGTGGTCAAAAGAAGAAAGAAGGCGCTAGTTAAGGCATGTTTATGTGTGTAGTTATTTGCAACCACTTGAAACTGAAACTGGCATCTATCCATCTTCTATCATCCTCCCAGCCGTTTTTGCCATAACGAAATGAGAGTTGCCGAGACACTACCTCCTTGCCAGGCGTGGCGGATGATGGGGAGTGAAGCCTCATTGGCGATACTACAGGTACTGTGTAACTACCCTCTGTCTATCCTCCGTAACCCTCATCGGGGGAATGTTATCATCATCATCATCATCATCATCATCATCATCATCTCATCACAATCTCATTGTCCTCGCCATAGTGTCTACCTAAGGTACGATACTAGTCTCCATATGCCGGGAATGAACCCTATGTGATAAGGTAAGTAACCCTACTCCGTATGCTTCTGACAAGTAACTCTAGCGTATAGAGTTGGCGTGTAGACCTAAATCTGCATGACGCCTTGAAATCACTTGAAATCAGAAAATAATGAAAACGGGCGATCGGTGTAACGGTAGATAGTTAGTTACCTAGCCTGGCTTGAATTTAAAAAAAAAAAAAAAGAAAAAAAAAAGAAACTATACATGACCTCTCATTGGCCATGTTGCGTGCTTATTATGTTAAGTCGGGTCTTTGGCGTAGATTGTATGGGGACTGAACTACTTGATTCTACTCTGTCTATCATACTTGGGAGAGTTCCGGGACTTCTGACATGACATTGTATAAAGGAGGCCTGCCCTCCTGGCAACAGGAGCAGAAGAAGGACAAAAAACTACACACACAGACACACACAGACACACACAAACAGACAACTTCCATTACCAATCTACCATACCTCCATAACACACACACTCCTGAGTCCTACATACTCCTGCTCCAGCTACTCCTGCTACAATGCCTCAACAATCTACCACCACCTCCGCTGGCAACTCCAAGGCACGCAGCAGGTAGATATTCCCCTTCTTTCTTCTTTTTCTTCTCCCTTCTCCCTTTTCCCTTGCCTGACAAACATGACATGCACTGACATACGGTCTCCCGTAGCCATCCTGCCCCGTCCTTTTCTCCTTCTGCCACTACCACTTCCGGCGGTGGAGGTTCCTCGAAGACCAACAGTAGCCAGCTACAGCAGTTCGCCGAAAGCTCTGCACGCTCTGATCCATGGACGACGGGTAGCCTGGACACCGAAAACAACGAGGAGATCAACAAGGTCATCAACGACGTCGACAGGCTGTTTGGTAAATAATCTGAACGCCAACTAGAGGATGCCAACTTGTTTCGCTACCTCTTCAACTTCCGTCTGGATATCAACTCTTGTCTTTCATGTTTGCATTTCGGGTTTATAGATGCATACCCAGGGTTTTGATGAAACAGGTGTATACCCATGGTTTGATGTGATGATATGCTTACGGGGTTCTATGGTTCGCTGCTATTAAGTGTCATGTATGGGTATACAAGGGATATGGTACGATATGGTAGGATATAGGATTTGGGCATGGGTATGCAAAAAAAAAAAAAACCTGAGGGTCTGTTTTTTTCGCAAAGGATCCAGCTTAGACGTCTCTTCAACTGTCTGTCTGTCTCTTAGTTAAGTTAATTCAACATAGGATTCATGGATTGTCTTTGCTTATTCAGGTCATCCACGCAGCAGGGTCGGTTTCGAGGTTGGGCCAGGGATGAGAGAGGAGACCCTTGCCCTAGCATCGGCATGTACATGTCTTCTCTCGTGGCGTCCATGACAAGGCTGTCGGCCCTCGCTGTCCCTTGATCTTCTGAGAGAAGCTAAAAGGACAGAGAGTTATTAGCTTGCCTTTCTCTCTTTACCCCTATTTGGTATCCTGTTATACTGGTTCCCTTTCAAGGCTGCTTTGCTGTTGATGAAGAGTCTGTGTCAACCGCCTGTGGTCGTGGCTGTGGCTGTGCTGTGAGAGGGACTTTCCCGCTTGTTATAACCAGGGATGAAGGATATTAGTTGAGTAAGTCAATATGCAGCTTAACGAGAATCACTTCATCCACGGATCACTGACTGTCGGTCGTCTGCTTCTTCGAGACCAGAGGGAACCTGCATGTCATGTCCATGCTTCGGACTAGCGGCGATCACCTCCTTAGTTACCCTTATTGGCCCTTGGTAACTAACTAGCTGACTGCGACAGGCCTAACTTACCAGCTATTAACCAGCTAACCGCCCGCCACTCCGTACAGCCTCTCATAGGAACAGAAGAACCAGAAGAACCAGAAGAACCAAAGAACCAGAAGAAACAGCTTATCAGCGTCTGGCCTGAGCCAAAAAGGTACGTCTAAGCCTGCATGAAGATAATGAGCCAGCCACACGCCTGACCCAGCCATAGGCCAACCAGCTACCTAGGTAACCAGGCTACATCTTCCACTATCTTCTTATATATATCAACTTCAACCCCGCGGACTCTCACGTACGTCTGAGCCTGTGATTCTCCCCCTGTATCCATATATTTCTCCTTTAAAGCATAGATAAAAGTACTTTTAACTGCTTACTTGCAGGGGTCGACCTGTTTTTCTCTCACTCTTTTTTTTTTTTTTCGCTTCGCATGGCGCGCTTGTTACGAATATTCGTACGCTTATAGTTGACGCTCTTTGGCTTTCTAGCTCGCAACCTCGAGACGGCTCGCACCCTTGAAACGGAGTCCCTTGACGACCAGCGGCCTAGCAAGCGTTAGCAGCGAGCTGACTAGTGGCTGTAAAGAGGCACAGAGCACTCGACAGTCGCAGGGTTGGGTTGCTGACCGACGCCCGGCTCGAGATGTCTATAAAGTATGTCCACCGCCTTGCCTCGCCCTCCCACGGCTGCCTGATACCTATCTATACCTATACCTATCTATATCTGTCTATATTGCGATATGGGGAAGAAGACGGTACTAAAGTCCTGGATGCTTAGTTGGGCCATGGTCCACGAGACCAAAGGGCTGGTCCTGCTGCCGAACGAACGCATCATATACACCTCCCCCGCGCGGACGAGCATATCTCTCAAGTCCATCCACCCGGGCCCAGACAAGCAGTCTTTCTCTCGCCAGAGCACCGCCGGACACGTCCACCTCACTAACCAAAGAGTACGCTGTCTATACTCCCGAGTTAAGCTACAGAGTTACAGACATGTATCTTACATATATGCGTGTATAGATCGTCTACCTCCCGTCACAGCCCGCACAAGACTTCCAGTCGTTTTCGGCGCCTCTACTGAACCTCACAGATACTCACGTTGCCGCGCCCTTTTTCGGCCCTAACGTATGGAACGCCGTCGTCCAGCCGGTCTCGGGCGGTGGCATACCCCCTGCCTTCGCTGCCATACAGCTCAAGTTCACTTTCAAAGACGGAGGAGCGTTTGATTTCCACTCAAGCTATGAGCAGATCAAGGAGCGACTGCAGCAGGCTGTTGAGCGCGCGAGGGAGAGCGGGTTGATGTCTGGGGATGGAGCGCAGGTAGGCACGGGGAGAGACGGGGGTGCGTTTGGCGTGGTCGACTTTGCGAATGTGCATCTCGAGGACCTCCCGGCGTATGAAAGCGCCAACACCACCACAACCACCAGTAATAATAATAATAATATAACGACGACGACAACGGCAACGGCAACGACAACGACTGGAAGCGGGACTCCAGCGGATAGTAGGTCGGGTCGACAGTCGTTCGAGACACCTACGGATCCTCCCCCAGGATATGAGGAAGTGCAGCAGCAGAGCGTGGCCAGCGAGCTAGAGACCCAACTCCGCCGACGCCGTCAGTAACCATCTGTCTATCCTTCTGTTAGTACTGTAGTCTAGCCATCATCATCTTTACCTCTTCATCTTCATCTCGTCTTGCTGTGTTCGTCTTCGTCTCTTTCTACTTCTGCTTCTCAAATTATATGTGATTCACGTGACTTCACCAAACCAACCAATCACATCTCGCCTAAACCGAACTTCGCCGTCCTTTTTTCGCTCCCAAAACATCAAGAAAAACGACGAAGAAGAAGACAACAACCAATCTCAAGCCGAGCCGAGTCCCCAGAGACCAGCAACAGACGCATATCTCATCTCACCGGCGTGGACTGATTCTCGCCTGACAACCGCTGCCTCTGCACCCGCTGGATATCGCCGTCCCACGCTCCCAACCAACGCTACAATGGGTATCGCCGACATGTTCACTGAATTCGTGAGCTCGCTGAGCTTCGGAGAGGTCGTTGAAGCCGAAGCCCCTCCAGCCGAGGAGGTCGAGGACTCGTCTTCTGCCGGCGAAGATACGCCTGATGAGGACAAGTCGGAAGACGCTGAAGAGGAAGAGGCCGAGGAGGAGGAAGAGGAGGAAGAAGAGGAGGAGGAGGCAGAGGACATCATGCCCAAGTTGGTAGAGGGTGAGTAGACCTCTTTTTCTATCTGGTGGATGCTGAATGCTGGCTGGGAAGGTGTATTAAGGCGGTTGGGATGGCTCAATTGATGAATTGAGATCAATTGGGCCGTATCGACCAGCTTTTATACACTGACTCGGCCTACGCTGCCTGCCAATTGCACGCCGCCAGCATCAACATCAACATCAGCACCAGCTAATTGACGTCTGTATAGAATGCACAAACTCCAAGACCTGCGCTCCTGCTAAGCACCATTTCGACGACTGCGTTGAGCGTGTCACTCGCAACTCCGAAGATGCCGACTTCAAGGGCCCCCACGAGGACTT